CTTTCGACGCCATGAGACACGCCGCACAGTGCGTAGGACGTGCGATCAGAGGGAAAACGGATTACGGTATCATGGTGTTTGCGGATAAGGTAAATCTCTTCGGAAAATAATCTGTTGTTATATCTTAATAAAAATATTTCTGCATTTTGTAATAATATGATTCTTCTTTCACGTCTACGCCACTGCAGAGATTTTCAAGAATAGACAAGCGAAGTAAATTACCGAAATGGATACAGGAGCATTTGAACGATAGCTTATGCAACTTATCAACCGAAGAAGCTATACAGGTGACGTTAATCTTTCGTTTCGTAGCAGGTGCGATTAGTGATTACAATTTTACAATTTGTCCAGTAACAATGTTTATTTACAATTTTCAGATCAGTAAAAGATGGTTACGACAAATTGTCGGAATTTAATAGGCGACGCTAGCATTCCGAAGGCCCCGGGAATTTTAAACGTAGTAGGATCCTGCCAATTTTCTTACATATATTAATAAAGAATCAGCGGGCATCTAAAAATAATTTACATTATTATTAAATTTATCAATATGTAGACAATCTTCTTGATTTAAAAAACAAAATGTCTTAGTAATTTAGTTGGATAATTGAGAGTTGATTAGAAAAGTTTCAAAATCGATTATCGAAAATAATCGATCTGTCGTCTAGTCGATCTGCAACTCTTGAGTCGAAATGTGTTTATACGTAAATAAGGTTAGCTTGATGTTTCCAACCTAAAACCTTTAGTCGGAAACGTGCAGTTAATGTATATTGTTAATGTATGTATGTACATAGTTACTAGTCAGAGAAGGTGTTAGTTTTGAAAATATTGGTCTTTGTTTTTATGAAATAGGTAAGAATCCAGAATTTACGTAGATCATACTGCATTAAATGAATAGCTCAATAAATTATTGTTGTCAAAAGTATTACGTTTTTTTTTCATCTAATATGCCATTGTACTTTCGCAGGATGTCTACGAAATCGAGAAAGAGCCTGTCGTCGTGGCAACAGTGCGACAAGTGCAAATGCGCTGTGTCGCAAAAAGACGTTTCGATGCACGAGGCAAGCTGTCCACCTTCCACAGAAAGCTGGGACCATTCGTTCCTATTTAACGGAGTGTTGTACAGCACGTTAGAAGTCTTCCAGACGCAAGGTACGCAACTGTTGATTTTCGTCAATTGACACAATTTTCTGTCTCAAATTCACGGTTGGTTGTTGTTATCTCGCAGAATTGCCCAAACGCATTTCCGAGAGGGACGCTAATGATATGGTGTTTGTGTCGCAGTTAACGTTGCAACTGTGCGAGATCGCGATTGGCTCGCCAACCGTTGTCGCGACGAAAGACGAGGTGGTTGTCAAAACAGCCTGGCCGACTAACGACAAGAGTTTGACGAGCGTCTCTTTGACGAAACACGGTGGGCCAACTCTTGCTCTTCGATCCTTTTATATCTGTAACAAGTTTAACCGGCGATTTAAAATCAACGACCGTTTTATTGCTTTTAGCCATCGAACTGAACAATCTGTCGGGATTGACCAAGGTATGCGCCTTGACATCCGATATCCATATTGCTAAGGAGATCGTGATTAGTCAACAAGGGAAGCGTCTGACGTCCGACGTGAGCGTGGAACTGAACAATATCCTAAAGTATTTCAACGAGCACAAGATATTCACCGTGGGCAACAGGATAAGCGTGCCGTTTTATGGAAAGAAGTTGGTATATAAAATTGTTGAGATCAAAGCGGAAGAGAGCAAGAAGAAGAAGCGAAGCGAAGCGGTGGATGTGAACGATCTGTCGAAGGCTTTCGAAGATATAAATCTGACGACTTCATCCACGAAGGTGGCCTTTTACAAAGCGCTCTACACAACGAAGTGGACAATTCTGGGTATCACGGATACGAAAAATGAAGAGGACGTTCCAGGGAAAAGGCACAAAATTGAAGACATCGGCGGTTACGACGCTCTCATATCCGACATAAGGGACGTAGTGGCAATAGGCATTGGCAGGTACAGGAGCATCGAGCGGTTCAACGTCAGCAAGGGGATATTATTGTACGGACCGTCCGGCGTCGGCAAATCCATGATAGCCAACGCCATAATCGCGGAGTGTAACGTTAACACGTTCACCGTGCACAGCTCGGACATTTACAGCAAGTCTGTGGGCGAGACGGAAGGTAAGCTCAGAGAGGTGTTCAGCAAGGCGACATCGAGCGCTCCCAGTATAATACTGTTGGAAGACGTGGACAGTCTGTGCCCGAGGAGGAGCAGTTCCAGCACGGATCACGAGAAGAGGGTGCTGACGCAATTGGTCACGCTCTTCGACGATCTGCAGAGCAGCAGCAGCAACGTGCTGGTGGTGGCCACCACCGCCAAATCGGATCTCGTGGACGGTTCTCTGCGGCGACCCGGCAGATTGGACATGGAATTCGAGATTTACGTACCGACCCCGAACATGCGCATGGAGATACTGACGAAGTTACTCACGAGGATCCCCAATACGCTCTCGCGCGCGGACGTGCAGATTATCTCGTTCGTCACTCACGGCTTCGTCGGCGCGGACCTGTACGGCTTGTGCTCGAGAGCGATAATCAACGCGGTGAAACGCCATCAAAAGGACAAGGACGTTACGTCCGACGACGAGCCAGAGGTGATGATGGTCGACTTTCATTACGCTCTGACCACAACGAAGCCTTCGGCTATGAAAGAGGTCTTGGTGGAGGTGCCGAACGTGAGGTGGTCGGACATCGGCGGGCAGAAGGACCTGAAGCTGAAGTTGAAGCAGGCGGTCGAATGGCCGTTGAAGCATCCGGAAGCGTTCGTGAGAATGGGCATCACGCCTCCCAGAGGCGTCTTGATGTTCGGACCGCCGGGATGCTCCAAGACCATGATCGCGAAAGCTCTCGCTACCGAGAGCAAAGTTAACTTCCTGAACATTAAGGTGAGCCACTCGCGAAAAAGCGCTTATTCAGGTCCTCCATTGTTACGTTTCGCGCCATTTGTTGTCGCAGGGTCCGGAACTGTTCTCGAAATGGGTGGGCGAGTCGGAGAAGGCTGTGAGAGAGGTGTTCCGGAAGGCGAGACAGGTAGCACCGTCCATCATATTTATCGACGAGATCGACGCACTGGGTGGCGAAAGAGGTTCGTCCTCCGGCGGTAGCGGCAGTAACGTGCAGGAACGAGTGCTGGCCCAGTTACTGACTGAACTCGACGGTGTCACCGCTTTGGGGAGCGTCACGCTAGTAGCGGCTACTAATCGACCAGATAAAATTGACAAAGTAATATCCTCTATCTTATATGAGAGATTAATAGATATTTAACTGTAGTATAATCAAATAATAGTACGATGTAGAATCAATTCGAGAAACTAGCGTCTTTAATTACAGTCATCTTTTTATGGTAGAAAAAGAAGGTTCTCTCTAATCTTTATAAAAGGAATAACTTTAACAATGTACACAAAAGATATAAGAAAAGCAATTTTACATTATGTAATTGTGATCGAAAATGTGAAACAGCTGCAAAGTCTTAGATGTTAAAATAATTAATTCTCTGAATGATTTAACATTTTCTAATTATTATCGAATATTTTATTTCCTGTCCTTTTGAAGTATTTAAAAAATACTCTTTACTTATTTAGATTATAATTGACAAAATAATTTACAATTTCTAAATTATATTTGTGTTTTCATAGTATCGTGATTAGAACAATGAATATTTCAGGCACTCCTCCGACCTGGACGATTAGATCGTATCATATACGTGGGGCTGCCGAACGAGGAGACCAGACGAGAAATATTTCACATAAAATTGCGAAATATGCCGATCGCGAAGGAAGTAGATATCACGGAACTGGTTTGCCGAACAATCGGTTACACCGGCGCGGAAATTCAAGCAGTATGTCACGAAGCTGCCATGAAGGCGTTGGAGGAGGATCTCGACGCTGCTGTCGTTACCAAAGAACATTTTATCGCCGCATTTAGTGCCATCGCCCCTAGAACGTCCGATTCCCTCCTCCATATTTACGAGGATTATAAATAATAAAACTTTATAAGATTTATATGAGGATGTGTTTGAATGCATTTTCATTGCGAGAAGAGGCATCGCAGAAAAAGCTTTAGATTTCAGTTTTATTTGTTCTCAAGAATTCTTAATCTTTAGAAGGAAAGAAAAAGCAGAAGAAACGAATTTAATTGGTATATAGATTTATATAGATTCGTTAATTATAATTGACTAAAACAATTATCAGAAGAGATTTACAAAATGAACTTTTATTTGCTTGCAGATTGATTTACAGATTATATATTATGAGAACAAAGGCAGGGATCGAATAGAGTCATTTCTTTCACCTTTTACAACTTTGATTATCACTATATATGTATACGTCTTGTCGCGCACCTTCTCTTCAAACCCATTCAATGCTAAGTACTTACTTATTCGTTAAAAATTAACATACATTACATCTGGCCGAATCGGAAAAAAATTCCGACCGAGGTCAGCGAGAAATAGACGCGCAAACTATAAGTACGCGTCTCGAAAACACATTCCAAACGTCGTGTAATTTATTCTTCCGATGACGTGAACCTGCCGCAATTCTTATTCACCATCACTATCGAAATCGCCCGGTAACGGTGACGGTATAATGATAATAGTAATGACAAGTTCTTTTTTTTATTGGGCGTAACAAATAAACAGTATAAACAGAATATATATATGTATGTCAAGGGCGGCTCTTCCAATTCTCCCGCCACGCGATTTAACAACCCGACAGCCCCCCTCCCAGATTGCTTTCCCAGATCGCGAGATACGTTCGCCGGATCGACGGTAGGGAAGAGGACGACACGATTGATCTGAGCGCGATAATCAAAGTGAAGTCACCTCTCGCGAGTTTCACGCGCGGGAGAAAGCGAGAGAGAAAGAGAGAGACAATTAATTATTAAATCAGCTCAGGTGCGTATGTGTGTACACATAGCAAGCCTCTATTACAATAAATCCACTATTTGCGTCATCTCTCTCCTCTTCCTCTCCCTCCCTCTCTCTCTCTCTCTCCAGATGTTTGTCGATCGAATATTTGCGAGTGTCCCCCGCTATTTGCAGTCGTTATTACGTTCCGCGTTACACGTTGACGGAACTGAGGGAACTATGTGCGTGACGAGGAGGCCGCTCGCACGTCAGTAAAAGCGCAGGAAAGTATCGCATCGCCTGAAGTGGACGGGATCATCCCAGCGAACACGACGTTTCCCCGAGATCGTCGAATTGTGCCATGAGACATCGCTTCACGGCCCCGAGGAAGGAGAGCAGCTCAGTTCACTTCGCAGTCCCGTGTTGACAAATTTCCCTCCCCCACCCCGAGCGAGATAACCTCGAAGCGAAGGACGGATTTCGCCGTAGTCCTTTCTGTTCCACACAGTACGGCCACGCACATACTACGTTTCATTTCTGCCGTCCCGACTGTTAATTTGCCGTCTGACAATTTGTAGCGAAAAAAACGTCGCGCCAGACGTCATCGCGTGAGACGTGTAAAGGATAAAACTGTCACTTTCGTGTGTCGCACCAGTAGTCTCAAGTTTTGATGTCATTTTCGTACAGAGTCTCGGAAAATTAATAACATCGAAATGGGAACAATTTTATAAATAATGTTACAAAGATTGTAACATTTATAAAAAAATAATAATGTTAAAAAATTAGCTATTAGCAAATTGTAACTGTATGTACAGTCGTGGACACATCGGTTGCGACACTTTTTATAGGTTTCTATTATGTATATATTTAATATAAATAATATATACTTTATAGATAACTAATATGTTGCAAATGCGAACCAAGATGTTACTATCTTTAGTCTAGAGACAGTATAACACCAATCATGGTCCGCATTTGCAAAATATTAGTGCGTTTTGAAATCTATAAAAAAGAATGTGTCGCAACCGATGTGTCCACGATTGTACATGTCTAAAAAAACATTGGTTTAATAACACACACCATACAATTAATATTATATTATTGGCTAATTGTTAAAATTTTACAGTCACGCTAATTCCCATAAAATTGTCCGTTTTTAATCTTAGAAATAATGTAATGCCTGGATATCGATTAAAACTTAGTTTGTCTTTTCGACATTTCGAAATCATGATGTAAAAGATAGTTTTCTACATGAGAGACTTTGGCAAATAAATTAGAAAAATATCTCGAAAGAAAATTGTATGCAGTGAAGTAAGAAGTTAAATGCATAGCACTGTTACGAGATTTACGAAAGACAGTTGCTTATTTGTAAACAGTCTTAGTTGATCATCGTGTTGATTCAATGTTTTGAAAACCAAGTTTTAAAAATACAATCAACTAGAGTGCCTAGTGATATAGGTGATTTTATGAATATTTGCATATTGTAACAGATCCATCTCGAGCAAGATGTCGATGGTTGAGGGAGTGGGCGATGAAGTCACAAATTTTTTCATCGCCATGACCATACTGTTTGTGGGATATCTCGCATGGTGCTCGACGAGTATAACGAACCAGCCACTGATCCGTACTGTACTTATCTTGCGCGACGCGCCAGCGAATATCTTGTCGATAAGAACCAATCAGCAGAGCACGAGTAGTCCCAGTACCCAGGACGTTGGCCGGTCCCACAGTTCGGAAACGGACAGAACCAATTCAGAGGAAGAGGAAACGTTAGCTGTAACTTCAAATGACAGCGATAATGTACAGTCGAACTGTCCAAATGCAACTGTCGCAGGTAAATATTCCTTCCTTCTTCTCTCTTTCTAACTTTCTGTGGATATGTTAAATACTCTCTTATGTCGTAATCATTAGATACTGCGAGCGAATTGCCTCAAGGTGTCGCGAGACCAACGGAATCCACGTCGGAAGAAGTACTTATTGAAGCAATGGATTCGTTCAGCAATTCCGATCGGTCGCTGTTACAAAGAACAGCCAAGGCGGATAGTGACGACAGTGTCGACGGTTCGACGATAGACCAAACTACTAGCACTACTACGATTACCGCTAGCACTACTAGTTTGTCAGAGTACACGTCGGATGAGGCAACTCTGAGCAACAGCAGTGACATCACCATAAAACTGAAGTTTATAAATGACGATCAGAAAGTGGTCACGGGTAGCCTCAAAGAGATGCTGGGTGATTTTAAAAGGTACTTGGCATACATTTTTGTCGTTGTTTCATTAAAGTGTTGTAACAGCTCTTGCTACGCTCTCACGAAAAATAATCCGACCCTTTAAGACGATGCTGGAAGATCGGAATTGTCGACGTTACAGTTATATAAATATCTCCGAATTGACTGAAAATCCTGAATAATGGGACGAAGGAATTTGTAGTAGAAATTTAAAAAAAATTAAAAAATAATTCCTTTTTTTTCGTTTTTACTACAAATTCCTTCGTCCCACCAATACATTTCGCGTCTATTTCAATCCTGTGAAAGGATTTTCAATTCCATTCAGCCAATTCGGAGATATTCATATACCTGTAATATCGATAATTCCGGTACAACATCCAAGATCGCCTTAATAATAATCATTCCTTACTCCTCACATTACGACTGATCTCTCGCATTTCGTAGGAGGCACTTTCAAATGGAATTGGAAGCGCGCAAAGCGGTGCGACTAGTGTTCAACGGCCGCGTGTTGCAGCCCGACACTCAGACCCTCGAGCAGTGCGGCCTGTTCAACGATTGCGTGGTCCACTGTTGGGTGCATCAGCCACGGCCGGCCGCCGTACCGGCGTCCACGATGGACAACTCGTCGTCCATTTACTTCAATTCCCAGCCGTTCCCGGATCTGCCCACCGGCGCGGGGATAAGCTCGGTGCACAACGACTGGGACCTGAGCCGCCTCCTAGTAAGCCTTCTAACACTTCTCCTGGGTCTCGCGTGGTACTCGCGGTATCACTACGCTCAACTCTTCACCGCGACGACCACGCTCGCGCTCTACGCGCTGACCGCGATCTTCACCATGTCGCTGTTCAGTAACTTCTTTCCCGATCAGGACAACATACGGAACGTGGAATGATACGACGACGACGACGACGACGAATACTACTACTACGATTACTACTGAAGTTTTTTTAATTTTAATAAAAAAGCACCTCAAATACAAATCGATGTAATATACATTTTAAACGTATCACGTGTACTGTAGATTTAACGGAATCAATCGAATGGTAAACTTCGTCGTCGAGCATCTTGCTTTTAACGCAACGTCCTCGAGATCAAGTTTATCGTTGATGATAACGGGCTCATTGTGCAGTTTGTGATTTTTCATCCTTTTTTCTTGATGTTATGTTATCTCAAAGATACACAAGATACACCAATTGCGATATTTCTGTTAATATACATTTCTCTCGGATTGTACATAATTAAATTTCGAATCGTTACATACAGGAACCGTGCTAATTTATAAATAAATAAATAAATTCTAGCGTGGTTGTTTTTTTTTGCAGAAAATTCAAAAGAAACTTTTCTTACTGTCTAATGGCAGCGAGCGAATCTGTCCGTATATTTGAAATATATAATTTATACGTTATATATCTATATAAAATATACAAGGCGTCTCTGATTAAATTTAAAATAATTTAATAAATAAACGTTATTAAAATAATTACGTTCGAACGCCATGTTGAGAATGCAATAATTCGGTAACAATAAACAATTAAAGAATCGGTCACTTTCACGAACTCACATCTTATTTCTGAAGACTGCAACAGTAACATGAACATAACATTGTTGTTACATCCCTCAGAAATAATTATGAATTTTTAACATATTTAACATATCATTTTTAACTTGAACGTTTAAGAGTTATTACATTTTGACATTTTTTTTTAAGCGTAATTATTCTTTTACTTCACTCCGTTTATTTCTTGTTTACCAACGAGTAAAAGTTCAAATTCTTTTAAACTTAATGGAAGACCTGCGTATATAAATATTTTCCGTAAGAAATATCGCTTTGTGGTGTTCACATTATAAGGTAATTGGGAAACACTCTATACGGTAAAATAAGTTTCTGTGAAACAAGTTTTTTCGCAAGATATATTGAATTCTGAAAAAAATATCACACTTTCTATTCAGCGGGGAAATAAAAAAGTAAATTAATAGTTTATCTCTCCAATTTTTATCATGATTAATTCTAAATGCGAAAAAAATATAGAAATATTTTGTATATTACGTAATTATTTTCTTTGATTTTCTAGTGCAATATGGTGCTATATGATTCGTAAAAGTTTCGATTCGCCGAATTTAATAGAATTATTTTAGATGCGTTTTATCGACGAGATACTGTTACAGTTAAAGACCGTCAATCCTTGGGAAAATTTTCGTGACTCTCAAAAAGGCCCGAAATAATTGAAGAGTCAATGTTATTCAACTGTTAACACAAATTTGCGATTGTTAATATAAATATATGAATAATGCATTATTAAAATTATTCCCTATTATATAAATGCTTTATAAATATAAGTATGAATACTTGGATTGCTATATTATATATTTTGCAGCAAAATTATAATTTTCTTCTACTGTTACTATCTTTATGAATAATCAAATACGGATAGTAACTATAAAAATACAGTTTTAATTAAAAAATTAACTATCAGCAAATTGTAACTGTATGTACATGTCTAAAAAAACATTGGTTTAATAATACACCATAAAATTAATATCATATTATTGGCTAATTGTTAAAATTTTACAGTCACGCTAATTCCCATAAAATTGTCCGTCTTTAATAGTATCTCGTTGTTTTATTAATACGTTGATTGCCACGTCATTCATGTATAAATATTTCTCGGTTTCGCAAAAAGAACTTCCGGGAAGACAAACATGTTATCTTTCGCAATTAATTTTTTTACCCTCAAAACGTCATTCAATGACGGTGCTTTTTTGTTATTTGTTTGAATGAGTGGACGCTCTCACACACGTGACAGTCAACGTGTTAAGTAATAATGGAAATGTGAGCAATTATGTCTAATGATGTGTGAATTGCAGTTACCATTAATGTAAAGCGAGTTCATTTGAATGGATTTTGTACTGAGAGGACGAAAGAAAAATTATCGCGATCTCTAAAACATCGCAACCTGGAAACGTTTGCTTACGTTATACTTATTTGTACGTGAGAAATGACTACATGGATTATCAATAAAATTCATCTCTTCTTAAAAAAAAAAAAAAAGAAGAAGAAACTAGATTACACTAAACGAACATCATTCAGGATAAACTCTGGGAGGAGCATAAAAATATAGGTATAAGTTTCACCGAAAGTGCTTAAAGCATAACAAAAGGACGGGTGTGACATAAGGTATATACTGTGGTCTCTGACTAGTGTACTATATAATTTGTTAATTGTCTAAAGAGTTAAATTAATAATTTTATATATAAATATATATAATATATATATACATACGATATGCATATATATTATATATACATGTATGATTGTGTTTTAGTTAATGCTAATAAATGTCTATTTATTTGATATTTATATTTATCATGTAGTATTGCTCTCCTTGTTTCTTAGTTATAAATATATATATATGTAAAATTTTGGATTTTAATGTTTAGAAATATCTCTATTATATTATCAAATTATCCATTTACTTCTTTTTATGTAGCAGTCACGAGCATTTTTTACAATGGTCCAACAGTGATGTAGAAAAATTGTCATTAAAAATGCAATTATATAATTCTTTTTATTCGTTAATTCACAAAATATAGTCAATGTAGTAACTTTTATGAAAAATATTTTATTTATTTTTTACAATGGTCCAATAATAATGTAGAAAAAATTGATATTAAAAATGCAATTATATAATTCATTTTATTCTTTAATTCACAAAATATAGTCAATGTAGTAACTTTCATGAAAAAAATATTTTTTTAACGTAGCCAGACGCGATATATCGAGTCTATTAAATATAAATTAAAATCATAAATATCGCTTTCTTTATACGTCATGCTTTACAGTAAATACTGTTGTTGATAGAAGAAAAAATTAACTGATATAAATATGAAATTTAACTACAGATCTTTTGCCTATCTCGTAAACTACGATAATGTAAGATGTCTTTTTACAAAATTACAAAATGACAAAAACAGTATGAAGTAAAATAACGCAGGCTCGCGAAATTTAGTCCTCGCTTTTCTTTTCAACTTTACATGAGTAAAATCGCAAGTCTACGAAAGTCCACTTTTCGTGCCTCGGAAAACTTTACTCTAGCATTTTTTTTATGACCTCACTACTTCTATTGTTTGTTTGTCGAACATGCCTTCCTGCAATGGCGTGTCGTCCAGCGTTCTGGTAATTTTCTTAGAGTTGAGATACATATCGTACGAGCAGCCGTAAATACCGAACACTACGTCGATCTCGTGTTTCAGACGTTTGTACGTGAGGGGTCCCAGTTCCGAACTACGCAAGAAAATCTTGTCGCTCGAGGACGCGCCGTAACGTGGTTCCATGTTCACGAGCTTCACGTTGACGTAGCTCACCGAGGTAGCTCCCGATCCCGACGACGTCTTGCCGTCGTCCTTCGTCATCGTCGTGTTACCGGTCTGTGTTTTGATCAACACGAGCCTCATGTCCGTGTCCTTGATCTTTTGCATCTCCTCGATAATGCAGACGGCATCGGACGGCAACTCGGTCATGTCTCTCTGCGGCGTCTTGGTCGCGCTCTCGATGAACTCCTTGTGGCTGACGACCACCCTGGCCAAATTGCTGCTCGCATCGATTTCGTAATACACGACGGCCTCGTCGGACGGGACGAGCTGCGCCTTCTTTCGCAGCTTCTGCACGCGATTGATCACCTCGCGCGCCATCCCCTCGTTGTGCATCGCCTCGTCGGAGGTGACGTCCAGAAGGATCAGCACGTTCCCCTCGCTGTGGGCCTCGTACCGCTTCGACAGCTGCTCGGCGGTCGGGCCGGTGAAACTGAACATCAGACGTAGATCCTGCTCCTCGAGTCTGTGGCCCTGCACGACGATCTCCCGCGTGGCGACGAACTTCTGCAGCTGCTCGTCGGACAGCTGTTTGATGGCCTGAATTATCTGCTTGAACTCGCCCTTCAGACGAGCGCCGAGCGTCTTGTGGTCCGGCTCCGCTCTCAACGTCACGCCGTACTTCTCCTTGTTGGTGGTGACGGTCAACTTCTTGATGTTGAGCTCCTCGAGTATGTACGACTTCAGCGAAACGATATCCCTCAGTACCTTATCATCCTGATGAATCACTACGATTTCCGGCAAAGGATACTTAATCGGTATGACCTTCCTGTCCCGCACGATGCGACCTAATTGGATGACCGACTGCATGTGCGACACGGCCTTCTCTATGTCCCTGCTGATCAGATGATCACGCGGATGCGGTATCAGCTTGTAATGCACGCTAACGTCAATTTCTTCTCGCAATTCTTCATGTCCATTCTGCAATCGATACTCAATGTCTGTATTCTCCTCGTAAAAAGTACTCGTCCATCGGTACAATCGTTGAAACATGAATTCCGTCAAGAACGGCGTGAACGGCGCGTAGGTCTGCACCATCGTGTAAATCGCCAGGAACAGAGTCGTCAGTGCGTTCTTGCAATCCACCGGGCCGTCCTCGCCCTTGATGCGTCTCCTGTTCATTCTCACGTACCAGTTCGTGAGATTGTCGATGTACTTGATCAGATAGGGCACCACGGTGTACAATCTGTACTCCTTCATTTCCCTCTTCAGAAAGACCAGCAGCGACTGCGTGATGGACACGATCCACTTGTCCATTATATTGCCGAAGCAGGAATCCAGCGTCTCGTCGAACACAAACTCGGCCCCCGACTCCTCGTGCCGCTCGATGTTCTGAATGAGGAAACGGAACGCGTTGTACCACGGCAGGAACACGTCCTTGATGACGTCCCGCACGCCCTCCTCCTTGAACCTGAGGTTCTCGGCTTTTACGACCGGCGAATTGATCAGGTAGAGACGCAGGGCGTCCGCGCCGTACTTGTCGACCAGCTCCATGGGGTCGGGATAATTTTTCTTACGCTTCGACATCTTCTGGCCGTCGGACGCGAGCACCAGACCGTTGACTATCAGATTCTTGTACGGCGCCTTGCCGAACAGCGCGGCGGATATCACGAGGAGCGTGTAGAACCAGCCGCGCGTCTGATCGATGCCCTCGCCGATGAAGTCCGCCGGGAAGAACGACAGGAAGTGCTCGCGGTTGTCGAACGGATAGTGCATCTGCGCGTACGGCATGGAGCCGGACTCGAACCAGCAGTCGAAGACCTCGGGCACGCGACGCAACGGCGGGTGGCCCGGACGCACGGACGGTATCGTCAGGTGATCGATGTTCTCGCGATGGATGTCCTCCCGCAGCCCCGACGCGCCCGTCAACTCCTCGAGCTCGTCGATGCTGCCCACGCACACGATCTCCTCCCTGTCCTCGGAGATCCAGAGCGGTATCGGATTGCCCCAGTAGCGATTCCTGCTGATGGCCCAGTCGCGGGCGTCGCGCAGCCAGTTGCCGAATCGTTTCTCCTTCACGTAATCCGGCACCCAGTGGGTCTCGCTGTTCGCCGCCAGCAGCATGTCCTTGATCTGCTCCACCTTGAGGAACCACGAGGGCACGGCTTTGTAAATGAGCGGCGTGTCGGTTCGCCAGCAGAACGGATAGCTGTGCTTCGCCGAGCCGCTGATGATCAGCCTCTTCTTGCTCTGCAGGTACTTGATTATCTCCTTGTCCGCGTCCTTGACGTACTTGCCGACGAAGTCGTGAACCGGCTCCGTGAAGCAGCCGCAGCTGTCCACGGGGCACACGATCTCCTGGTCCTTGCTCACGATGCCGGCCTCCAGGCAAATTCGGAAATCGTCCTCGCCGAAGTACGGCGCCTGATGGACGATGCCCGTTCCGGCCTCCGCCGTGACGTAGGTATCATTCAACACGCGGAAAGCACCTTTCTCTCTGTAATGCAGAAAATACGGAAACGGCGGTTCGTACCTCTTCCCCTTCAGATCCGTGCCCTTTCGCCTGGCCATTACGACGTAGGAGCCCTTGAGGGTCTGCAATTGGCTCTCCAATATGATGTAAATGTCACCGGTCTTCTCGTTCTTCACCTGCGCGTATTCGAAGGTGGGATTGACGCACAGCGCCAAGTTGCTGGGCAACGTCCACGGAGTGGTGGTCCAGGCGAGCAGAGACACCCCGGGCTCGTCCAGCAGGGGAAAGGCGACGACGACGGACGGATCGACCACGTCCTTGTAATTCTGACCCGCCTCGAAGTTGGACAGCGGCGTGTTGCAGGCGGTCGAGTAGGGCATCACCTTGATACCCTCGTAGACGAGGCCCTTGTTGTACAGCTGCTTGAATATCCACCAGATGGACTCCATGTACCACGGGTACATGGTCTTGTAGTCGTCGTCGAAGTCGATCCACCGTCCCATCCGGTGCACGATCGTTCGCCACTCGTTGGCGTACCTCATCACGATCTTGCGGCAGTGCTCGTTGTACGTCTTGATGCCGATCTTGGCGACGTCGTCGGGCCCCCGGATGCCCAGCGTCTTGTCTATCTCGTTCTCCACGGGGAGCCCGTGACAGTCCCAGCCGAATCGGCGCACCACGTGATAGCCGCTCTGATGCGCGTACCTCGTCACGATGTCCTTTATCGTGCCGGTGAGGATGTGGCCGTAGTGCGGCAGCCCGGTGGCGAACGGTGGCCCGTCGTAGAACGAGTACAACGGCCGGCACGCCGACAGTTCCATGCTCTTACGAAACACATCCTCCTCGTTCCATAATCTCAACGTCTTCTCCTCCTCCTTCGCGAAGTCGATGGTCTGCGGGAGGTGCAACCTCGCCGGAGACGGCTTCTTGGCAGGCATCTCTGACACGACGACGTTTCGTACCGGGTTCTTTTATTAATGACACCTGCCTCCCGGAATGATATTTTTGGCAACGCGGTTCCGCACTGGCTGGAATCGTAGGACGAGGTGAGCGACGCAACCTTCCTAACCTTAACGATGTGTCGGCTGTCGCACAGTATCGAGTGGAACATATGGGCGCAAGCCGCAAGGGGGGTTTTTGGAGGTTAGAGTGCCGTCTCAACTCCCATGGTAGAGATTTTCCACGTAACGCATATTGCGAGGTTCGAATCTTCGCTAAGTGGGGTTTGAGTCTTCGCTAAGTGAGGTTTGAGTCTCCGCTAAATGGGGTTTGAGACTTTGAGCCTGCTCTTCTGCTGAGTAAAATATGAATTTAGTGAAGACTCAAATCCCACTTAGCGGAGACTCAAGATTATGCCTGATATAATCTCGCGTCAGTCGCGTCTCGAATGGTTTCGAAAATGCAAAAATACATGATAAAAATATCAGCGTGAATTTTATGTTAATTTGTATTTTCAAAAAATGTATTTCCAGAAGAAATACATAGTATGAATGATAGGCACACGTAATACAGCTGAATACAGCAGAGGGAAATGAAAATTAAAAAAACAAGTATTTTAGATTTTCGAAAAATAATCAAGGTTATTTAAAAAAACATTTTTATATAAGAGGTAAATTGAACTGAAGCAGGTTACGAATTCATACATTAAAATTCAGGAATCGACTTCTCAATATTAGAAAAATTTTGTGGTGCGAATTTTAAAATTATTTTTTCCTTAAACAATTCATTTTTCTTTTTTTTATTTAAACATTCTGATATTAGAATTATTTTTTAATGTCATTATATTAAATTTTTATATACATTTACAATCATATATTACGTTAAAATATTGTTAAAGTAATTGTACAATATTTGGAGTTATAAAGTAAATCTCTCCATATTCCTAAGCCTTTCCTCGCTGATTTAAATATTGTAATATATTAATGTAACATGGCAGTAGAATCCTAATTAAGTAACAAGTGTCAACTTTATAGAAAGATAAATAATACTTTAAAAAGAGGTATAATTAACGTCGTAAATAATGTCTGATATATGTAGTATCAAAAAATCACAATTACAGTAGTGAAAAATTTCGTATATCCAACTCCTACGAACTATTAATTTCTTTGGACTCTACAGGAATGTATCGTTCGTTCGCTCAGCTACAAAATTCATCCGAAATCTTACAGAAATTATGTAGAAGCTATATACTCATATGTGGAAACATAGGAAGATAGAATATTTACAATATTTCGTCACTTCAAACAGATATACAAATATATATATATATATGTATATATATATATATATATATATATATATATATATATATTTGTATTTATATTACCTCATATAAATTTGACTAGATAACGCAAATGGTCTAAATTCACGACTGATGCATGACGTGCTGTACCCTTTGTCGCTGACCGCCAACGTAAATCACTTGCCTCGGCTCGTCCGGATGAATGAGCTCGTCCGTATGCTTCCACCGCCACTTCTTCTCGCTCTCTTTCACGCGTCTGTGATCGATGTAACTAATAACGCAACTCGCCGGTATCCATATGATGGCGGTGATGATTATCACAGCACCCACTATATTGTCTTTCAAAAAGCGCATAACTTTGTTGATGTTTATATCTTCGATGATGTCCCAGAATCGTTCCACCACGTCCTGAATTGTTTTCTCACACACGCCCTAAAAAAAAAAGAAGGTGTACGCGTATAATATTGAACAGAGTAGAAAATTGCTTTTGCTGAATTAAATCCTGTGGTGCATCTTACCTTGTTGCAAAAACCTTGAATGCACGGTGTACCGTCGGGTAGAATGTCTTGCGGGTCTATCGGGAAGCACGTTTCGTTCAAGTTCATTCTACAGCATCTCTTGCATGCGTCAGCGACTGTTAATAAAATTCGAGAATAATCACAATTAATAATTATATGCTGTATCTTTCAATACACAATATTAGTTACATATAGAAAAATGCAGTATTAATCTATATATTAGTTAGAGATGTGAGAAAAGATGATACACGAATTAACACAATAAAATATCTCCACTTATATATATACGTGCTGACATCCAGCACCTGAAATAAAATATACATACTGGTGTCGCACATGCAGCTTTGCAAATTTTGGGTCTCGCAGTATGGTATGCACTTGCCCTGACGGCATTGACCACGTTCGAGGCAGCCAGTGTTGTCCTGCATGGGCGGAGATCGCGGGCACTCGCTGGACGCTCCGGTGCACCGCGACTCCTGTTCGCAAGTGGCGTACTGCGCGTCACGGCATTTCACGCCCGCAGGCATGTACGCGCAACCCTGACAGCAAGGCGAATTTTTGTCACTGTTGGAAGAGATAAAATCGAGCGTCGTTAAATATAAATATCCTAAAACCCGTAGCCAGACTAAAGACTGAGATTGGATTGGAATTTGATCAAAACAAAGTTCACTAAATTTGAGATTGGTTTTCTTTTTTCTAATTGATTAAATTCCAATCCAATCTCAATCTTTGGTCTGATTAAGGAATTTTATCGTAAAAGTATAGAAGGGAAAAATGGATACGCAGGTATAGTTCTATATAAAATAACTTACCTGCAAACCGCTCCCTGATTATTTCGAAGCTTGCAATTTTTGTCGCAACACGCGTCATTATCTTCCGTTCCTAAGAGACCCGCGTCGCACTCCTCGTCGCCCTCGACTCTCAAATTACCGCAGAACGATTCTTCCGGCTCGGAGAAACAGCGCCCGGATTTTGCTTGCAGGACCTTTCTGATGGAACGTAAGCTGCATGGCGAAAATCTCTGTGGAAAGAGAATCGTAAATCTATATGAGATCACATAGAATAAATTTATGTATAAACACGTAGGATAAAAAAATATTAATTTCTCGTTAAAAAAATTAAAGTATGCAGTTATGTTTCACGATAGAAAAATAGTGTGAATTAAGAATATACTCCACCTTGTTGTTTACGTCATAGCCACTGACACTGTAGGTATACATTAAGTAAGATCCACCCTGGCTTGCACTTGGACTGCACTCCTACAATAATGTCATTAAAATTACATTCTAGCTTCGGGAATTGGAAAAAAAAGTTTGTGAAATAAATATTCACACAAAAATACATTTCAAAAATTAATATACATAAGATTTCACATTTTAAATAAAAATCTATCTTTGCCTTGTGACTTTCTTCTTTAATATTTATTAGTTGAGTTGTTTAATGTTATTTAATTTCACAAACTTTTCTTTTTTTTTATTCCATCGATTCTCTCAGGGATATTTGCAGTATACAATGTTAACTGAATATAACTTACCGAGATATCTGGATCATGCTCGGAACCCCAATTATGACCGAATTCGTGTGCTGTAACCAAATCGGCTTCTCTTGTAATCACTCTCTGGCCGTAATGATTTCGGCTGGAGCTCAGTCCCGAGTTCAGATACAGTGTATACCCGTTTTTAAAATATTCTGCAGAATATAAATTTTCTATTAAATTATGTGAGAATGAATATCACACGTAAATATCACTTTGCCGTGGAATAATATTAGGTAACATGAGAAAGAAAAAATGTCTTTAACGTACCTGGTGTACAGATACCGCCCACCGAATTTCTACGAGGAGATCCTACATAGGCCAATCCGAGGATACCACCTTCAAACTTGAGATCGGTAAATAAGTGAGCCAAGCAGAAGTCTTTATGGCTATACTCTCGACTGAATACCTGTGTTAACGCGAGAATATCATGAAAGCATCGACATTTAATTTCAACGATTAATTTAATGACGTTTATTCAAGTCAGTCAGTCATTTTTGAGATTGGTAAGTGGTGGTAATGGGTGGTGGTGGTGAGAGGTGGGGGTGGGTGGTGGTGGTGGGTGATGGTGGTGGGTGGAGATGATGGGTGTTGGTGGTGGATGGTGGTAGTGTGTTGTGATGATGAATGGTGGTAGTGGGTGATGGTGGTAAAACTAAAAAAAATTTTTATTTTTAAAATCACACGATATAAAAAATTGTAAAAAAAAATTTTTTTAATTTAAAAATCGCATGATATAAAAAATTGTCAAAAAAAAATTTTTATTTTAAAAATCTGTTATAAAAAATTTTTAAAAAAAATTTTTTATAACAGATTTTCTTGACTGACTTGACCTCAGACGATTTTTTATATAGATCGATTTCTGCAATATAGTATATTACGTCCCAAGGCCAGAAAGTTGGATTTCCTGGCGTATGTGATATGATGGCCGAGGCGAGGCCGAGGCCATCATATCACATATGTCAGAGCATTCAACATTATGGCCATGGGTCGTATACTATTTTTCTTGATCCTCTTGCCGAAAGTACATTAAATAATATTAAAAAAAAAAAGGTTACCGTTAGCTCATGTCCATATGCTTGAATTTTCCTATCTAAAAAAAGGCATGACATCGATACTCGCATCTCTCGAAGTTTTGTGACCTCTTTTCCGCGACGCTGAATGGTTCTCTCGTCGCGCTAACTTCGTGAGTGGCTGTCATGGCATTGACTTTTGACAGTTATTATATGTATTGAGGTTTATGTATAATTATAGTAAATTAATAGTAAAAAGTAAAAAGTGCAGTTAAATAGCGCGCGCGGAGCGCGCGTCTGTAATGCTAGTATAATAAAAAGTAAAATATAGTTGGCAAATTTAATTTTGGGTTTGCAAAACCGAGGCGAAAGCCGAGGTTTTTGCAAACGGCGGGGGAGGGGGGGGCGCGCCCGACTTTTGCAAAACCGAGGCGAAGCCGAGGTTTTGCTGGTCGGGGCGCGCATCAAAAACAGATTATTATTTGATTATTATTATTATACACAATTTGTTGTTATATTATAAGATGTTGTTATTATATAAGAGCATGGGCTTTGCTATACTACCGGCTACAGAAAATAGCTCGTCAGAGTGCGCTGCAGTTCGAGCAGGCCCTAAAAGTCGCTCTTTCTGGCGTCTTGGGCGGCCAGAATAACCATACTTTCGGCGGGTAGATCAAGAAAAAAAAATTTTCAAAAAAAATTTTTTATTGCAGAAATCGAAAAATATAAAAAATCGTCTGAGGTCAAGTCAGTCATAGTCATTTTTTAGATTTTTCGATTTCTGCAATAAAAAATTTTTTTTGAAAGGAAATTGGAAGATATATGGGATTTAATATGTAACGCGCGCGAGGCGCGCGCCTGTTATGTACTAGTACTTTAAAAATCACATGTTATAAAAAATTTTCAAACAAAAATTTTTTTTTAATTTTCTATATCATGTGACTTTTAAAGTAAAAAAAATTTGTTTTTGAAAATATTTTATATCAGTTGATTTTTAAAAAATACAAGAATAATCGTTCAATGATTTAACGAAGTTCATTTAAGTCAATTATATTTAAAAAAAAAATTGGTTAATAAATCGAAGTTAATTTTAAGAGGTGGTATTCGTAGCAAGCGTGTAATTACCTCAAGCAATGTACGGACGTCCCATTTCTCGCGAACCATGTTGTAATGCGTTTCACCACCTCTCACCCGGGTCGGCTCACTGTGAACGACGATCTTTTTGATAACAAAACCCATTCCTTTGAAACCGTCCTCCTCTTGGTGCTCTTGCCACAAAGTGTCATTGTAAATTTTGTGTACTCTATCGATCAAACTTATCTGCATGAAAAATTGATGTTATCACGATTATAAATCAATATGTCCATAACTGTGCGTACTGTCAGCGACGAGGTATGTATCATTAAAGACGATTGGCCTTACGGGGTTTCGCGTAGCTCGAAAAATTAGACGAGGGATAATCGAAGAACGACACTATCAACGATTTTGACTAACCGAGGATATATCACTATTTTATTATCGACAGTGAAAAATTTACATTATTTTTCAATTTTCTCATATTTTTTAATTCTCACAACGTTTGTTTATACGAAAATTTACCCGTGGCCGACCGTCTTTAACGGTACCTCGTCGGCGGTACGTACATACCACTGTTGACGCTTACCAGATAATTAATTGTAGTTTTTGTACTGCTGGCGCCCATTTCTTGGTAAAACCGATAATCGGCGACCAATAGTAATGGGCATCTCGTTTTCGTCGGCGTGTATTCGTAGGTCTCCGTCTGCCGCTTCACCCTGCTACTGCTATTATCCGTCTCGATGTCATCCTCCTGAGAGCTGTCATTCAGAGTATAATCTACGGCAAAAAGTAGCATCATTATCACAGTACTAAAAATAATAGAAAATATAAAAAAAAGTTATGTCACTTCATAAAATTGTGTAATATCTATATTTATAATAGAGCCATACTCAAGTTTTCCTTGACGTAACCGCAGGTCTTCGGAATTCCATGGGTATGACCTTCGCCGTTTTGGAAATGCTCCCAACTGAGTTTGACATCGGAAGACTTATAAATGATCATCGTTTGATTATCTAAATGAGAAAGATGCCGCCAGGATGGCTGAAATACAAGTTGACTTCTTGATTATAGAGATAACAGTCAAGTGTGATAAGAATATATAGTGATAGCTAAAAAATTACGCAATTATCAATTATCTAAAAGACAGTTGTTATAAATCTTTATATATATATATATATATACTCACTTCAATATGAAAGGTTTCATCCTTGGTTGTTATGCTACCCGTCACGATACCATCATCAATGTGCACCTGAGCATGAGACTCAATTTCTCCGAACACTCTGCCGTGGTAAAAATTATCATGATCTGCAAAATAATATATTATGAATTATAACAGCCTGTTTATTTTGCCGCTTCGCCGAATTGTGCCGTACCTAAATGTATAGTTTTCTCCTTTCCATCGGCGTTGACCTCGTAAGCCTTAAAGTTGGAATGTATAACTTCTCTTCTGGGTGTTAAAATTAATCGGAAATGGCTGCAATATAAAGGGACTTGATTAAGAGAATGTCATTAAAATGGAGTGTTTGTTAATATAATAATTTAGGCGATGGAACAATTAAATATCTTACCGGCCGTGCGAATAAAACTCCAGTTCGCTTATTTTGTTGTATGGATGGTAGCTATGCTGAATGCCTCGCTTCACAATCCTATGTTGAAAGTGAGTGCTGTGAATCGTTTCGTAATATTTCAGGCTTCTGTGAAGTGCATCTGTCAATGACATTTTAATTATATTAGATGAAAAATACAACCGATAGAATTGCATAAATTGATTCACGATGACAGCAAAGCCTTCCTAAAATTATTACAATAAAATATTGAAACAAATTCTCTTTTTCTTTTTTAATCATAAATAAATAAATAGTAGACATTAATAGTAAATATTAGAGCTTCTGATAAAATTATAAAGAAAAGAAAAACTAAGGTATTGTTAAATTCAGTTTGTATAAGCTTAATTAAGAGCGTTTATTTTCAATTGCAACTCGGAAAGATTGCCGACGTCTCGATGCAGATATGTATAAAGATTTTCCTCTCAACTTTGACCGCGGGATCTGCTGTCAGTTTCTCTCTTGTGCTGATCGTGAATCAATCTGTGAAAAGCTGGTATAAAAAGAGCGACAGTGCAAACTGACAGATGTCCAACTTACGGATACTATGGAGAATAAAAAGAGCGCAGTAGATAACTAGAGCGTTTTGCATCTCCATCGTCGGCGTAGAGAATTAACGACGCAAATATAGGAAAGCGCAGCTTTCCCTCGTTTTGCTCCGCGCCTCGCGCGAACCTACTACAGACGACAATAATCCGCGATGTCGCGTCAAAATTTTGCGAGCACTCCGGACATGATTTGTCGAAGGAGCGATTCACGGCATAATAACGCGAGATGAGAAGGGCAAAATTGTATTATGACAGATCATCTGCGTGTCGCTTTCCTGTTTACGGTTGTCATGATGACAAATCCTCACGGGTCCACATAGGTTATGGTTCTGAACTTCTGTCAAATCAAATCATAACCTCCCGATCGTCGATCGATCAGCAGCGCCAGAGAGAGTCCAGCGAACGAGCGGAACGAATTTGTGAATAGTCGATAACATCGATACTCTGCAATTATCTCCGGGTCCCCCGATAATAATTTACCTGCAGAGTTGACCAGTATCTGCACTTTAACAGTATCTCGTCGGTAATCCAGCTTTTAAGGTCTGTGGTTCCAAAATTACAAATTTTCTGCATATATAAATATTAGAAGCATAAATTTTAATTGCTGTCATAAAATATTATAATTTAGCAATTCAAAATACTTTATAAATTTTGTTAGGCTTAATATATAATATAATATAATGTAATTATATATATATATACATATATATATATATATACATATATATATATGTGTGTGTGTGTGTGTAATATATATAATATATAATTAGAGAGAAGATCACTGTCATACGGAAATATTTAGCGCGAAAATCAACGCATGCGCGTGATCGTTCTGCGCGAACGTAAACAAACGCGCTGCGGTGCGCAGCCGTTGTGACGAAACATTTAATTCTCTCGGCTGATTTCCCGCGTTTCTCTGCCTCTCTTGGCGGCCTTGGCGCAGTTACAAATGTAAACCCATGTGAGAGATACGTTCTGATTTCGGATATTCCTGGAAGGTGTTAACGCGCAACGTTCGCCCGCGAAAGATCGCATCATCGGACACCGACGATTTTCGACGCGCTCGGCGAGATCGCGTTGTCAAATTCGCCGGTTCATTTAGGTTAGTTTGCTTGAGAAATATTTTTACGTAGAGTATTTCCCTCGAATATTTGCATAATAAACTACGTCAGTTACGCGTATTCGTCAATTTCGTGAACCGAGAATTTTAACGTGAATGATATAATCTTTAATCCTTCCATCATCTGTGTTTCCAGGTTTTTCGCTTGTCAATAATCATAATTTTAATCTTTGTTGTCAAAGTCGATTTAATTTACACTTTACTTTTGAAATCTCGATTTTCTCTTGATGTTAAAATCTTTTTCGCTGACGTTAAAACATTTTTTTTCTCAGATCGCAACTTTAGAGAGAGAGAGAGAGAGTCATGGAGACGGTGGACAGCAGTCAAGGAAAGTTGCTTTGCACTCCGCGGCGAGCGCAGAAATGTCTCTTCGCGTCGTCCGACGATAAATCCGTCAAACGAGGCGTTGCTCAGGATCCGGAACGTGTCAGGGACAATGACAAGACCTCGGGGGACGAATCGGATTTGGGGCCCATGTCGCCTCTGGCTCTCACCGACCGGAGTCCCAGTATCAGCGACAGCGATGTCAGTTCCTCGGGCAGGGAATTCGTCTCTCCGTTCGCGACGCCCGAGAAGACGCCGACCACGCGCAGCCACGCTACGTCCTGGGATCGTTTGAGGTTCAGCGCGGAGGAGCGCATGTTGCCGTTCAGATCGCTCAGGAAGGTCACCAGAGCGGCCAGATACTCGCCGAGGTGCAAACACACCGGCGGCTACTCGCCGCGTTCGCTGTCGTCCACCCCGGAGAAACTGCTGATGGTGGGCCCATTGACGCCGCAGCGCGTCTCGAAGACGACGGACGCGGACCAGATGACGAACGAGATAGTGCCGGAAACGCCGCAGCGTAGCTTCGCCACGGAGATACAGAACCAAAGTATCACGGAGACGCCGCGTAAGGGCAGGAGCCCCGAGCGCCCCAAGCAGACGACGCCGTTGAGCTCCGTGAGCAAGACAGTCCCGTTGCCGCGGGTGCACAGGCGGAAGTCCCTCAGCGCGATCGAGACGAGCGGCGGCCTGTCGCCCGAGCAGAAGGAGAACACGTTGAAGAGGCGTGCGCGTGACCAGTCGTCGGCGACGAGACCGACGAAGCTGTTCAAGAGCGACTACGGCGGCCTCGCGCCCAGAGCGAGAGCGTCGTTGTTTCAGGAGAGGAGGCACGAGACGTGCGGCCTGAAAAACAACTTCTCGTTGAGCACGAAAACGTTTTACAGCGGCAACGTGAAGTCCGAGCGGCCTTTCGGCAGCAGCTTCAGGAGCAACGATGTTAAGAGGAGACGAAGCTTACCCCCGCAGAGCAGCAGCAGACGCTTGTCGGTGAAGAAGCGGAAGTTCGGAAGGATAAACGCTGGCGTGTATCACGGAATCAAGAAGCCGAAGCCCAAGGAGGCGTTGAAGAAGGAGGGACAGCATGACAAGCAGAGCCCCACGACTTTGAGCAAGAATCCACCCGTGGAGGACGCTCAGCCAATGGAGACGACCGCGATCGCGGAGAGACCCCCCTCGCCGATGATCGACGAGAGCAAACGATTCTTCAAAACCAACAAGACGATCAGACAAAATCAGGCCGCTACCGTGACGATGAGCGATAAGATTAAGCTGAAGGTCGCGGACGGTAAGATCGAATTGAAGGAGAATCAGAAACGCCCACCGTCCATGAATGCGCGTAAGCGAAAGCCGAGCGTCGTGGACGTCCCTCTGGACGCCACTGATCTGACCGTCGACGAACCGGAAGTTGAGGTTACGTTGCAGCAGGAGGCGGTCGCTGATCTTCTGAAAATTCTGGAGGACGACTGGGCGAACGACGATTACGACACGATGGCACCACTGAGCCATATAGCGAACGCGTTTTCTTCAAAACCACCGACGACGTTGTTGCCGCCGCAAGACACGATTATGTCCCCAGCCACCGAACTCAGCAACATGACCTCGACGATGAACATTAATAAAGACGCTCCCTTGACGAACTTCGAAAATCTTTCGCTCGAGAACACGAATAATAATAATAATGACATCGAAAAGGAAACTGGCGAAGAGAACACCGAGAAAAGATACTTTCCGTTGTTTACCAAAGGATATTCCGAACCTGATAATATTTTTAAGTACGTTATTTTCGAGTTATAAATCTCGAATGTCCATAAAATTTTAACTTGTACAAAATTGTGTCTTCTGCCTCTTGTTACATTAATTTTATATTATTCTGTTATCACTTTTGTATTAATTTCTTATTAATATTTCAATCTTGTTTATATCAATTTATATTTTTCAATGTTTTGTCTTTTAAAAATTTATTTTGAGTCAGGCTTTCTAAAGATTTCAACTTCCACTTTAGGGAGACGTTAAGTAACGTTAAGGACGCTACGAAAGCAGTGAAGAAAAATATGCAGTGGCAGCTATCCAAGAAAGCTGGTGGCGCGGAGGATCAGTATCAGCTGGACGTCGGCCAGAAACGTTTAGGCGCCACTCAGTGTCTAGAGTGCAATGTTGTGTATCAGCTGGGCGATGCCGAGGACGAAAACGCTCACTTGAATTATCACAACAGCATACGGACTTTAAAATTTCAGGTACGCTGCGCCCGGCAATACGAATGTCGCATCGCTGTAGACACGATATTTGAATATCTTTGTTACGCACACGATATTTCAGGGATGGAAGAACGAGCGTGTTATACTGGAGGATTCGTTCACCTCCAGCAGAATAATCTTAGTCGAGCCGCATGACCCCAAGCAGTATTGGAAGAAAGTGCTGGAGATCCTGGCCGTTGTAGACAGAGACTTGGGACTGTCGGACATAGATACCTCGGAATATCAGAGCAAAAAGGTAAGTCCTGCACACGCATTGTTTTTATCAGCCACACATTGTTTTTATATTACACACATGATTTTTATCGTACAGTCGTGGACAAATAGATTGCGACACTTTTTTCATAGGTTTTTAAAATATATTTAAGAGAGAATTCTGCTTTACAAGCCTAAAAAAATGATGATTTCTAAGAATTTTTTTTCGACTAAAATGAAAGTGAATAATTTCAACAGTACACCAATCGTAGTTCCCATTTGCAAAATATTGGTGCGTTTCGAAATCTATAAAAAAGTGTCGCAACCTACTTGTCCACGACCGTACACACACATCGTTCTCGTTGTACATTATCGAATTTGACGCTTTGCGAATTGCAAACATTAATAGAGGAAACATGCTACTTGCAGATCTTCTTGTACATACGCGAGAAAAGCGTTCTCGGGGTGTTGGTGGCGGAACACATCGAGAAGGCGTTCCGTATGATTCCCGAGCTGATCGAACTCAACTGTTGCACCGCCGAGAGTACACCGACGAAATGTGGCATTAACGTCGTCTGGACCGCGATGAGTCATCGCAAGCAGGGTATAGCCACTAAACTCGTCGATACATTGAGGTAAACCGCCGTCAATTGACGCGTTGTACACTTTCAATTTTCTTCAAAGAAGATCTGTATTAATTAGAATATCTCTTGTTCGTGTGTTTCCAGAGCCAAATTCTTCTACGGTTACGTGATGTCGTTGGACGATATAGCGTTCTCAATACCGACTCCAAGTGGCAAGATCTTCGCCGAGAAGTACACGAAAATGAAGAACTTTAAGGTTTACAACTGAATCCACTATATTTAGACTTCAACATTTGTTCTTTTTAAATAGTCGCGTTTTTCGAACTGTTGGTGAAAAACCTTTACACATTACATTATACATCTTATTTTATCTTTTATTTTGCTTTGATAGTTTTATATTTTTGTGAAATTCTACTTTAGATGATTACTATAGGATGTTGACATGAATGAAAGGTTGAGATAAGTTTCTTGAATTTTATAAATTAATTTTAATGAATATCTTTTTCTTTCTTATTTAAATTGTTACTGCATTCCACTGTATAGTTCAAAGCGAAATAATTTTTTTTTTTTTTTTATAACTGATACAACAAGATGGAAATCTGAAATAAATCCATTAAGTATTAATATATAAAATTACTTTGAAAAATTTAAGTTATAATAAAAATATTAATGCTATGTTCTCGTCGATCTCGAAATGAACAAATTTTAATGAGCCCGTCTCTAGTTGATTAAATATATATTCCTGCCACTCGCTTTCACATTTCTTATGTGACATATGAATAATATATTTAACAGCGAGTTATAAAATGGAAAATGCGTGTTATATGTATTTAAAAAAAATCTGTTGAGGAAATAAATGAACTGAATTCAATAAAAAAAATTTTTATTAATTAAACTCAAAATATCGTAAATATTATGTCTTCCGAACAAATAAAATATAGCATTCAGAACTTGGATACGAAAAACTTACAAAAAAATATGCTTATAGCATATTTAATAATAAACTATGTGATACAAAATTATATTTCGCACTGATGCGTAAAATAATGTAAAGTTAAATATCGCTAAGTACGATATATTCCAAAGTTATCCTAATTGTCGCAAACATTTTTTAATGTATACTTCATTGAGATATTTAAACTAGTAGACGTTAAATCATACAACGTTGGTAACTATAAAAAAACAAAGAAAAGGAACATCGTGTTGTTCTACGAGATTAACCTTGCCGAAATCGCAAGGATTAAAAATAGTATCACAGTGTGTTAAGCCTGATGTTGATTATATATTGGACACAAAGTAATTCTATTTCCTAGCATCATTAATCGGCCATACTTTTAAGTGCGGTAGCGTGACCTACCGCCACCGCCACCGCCTCTGAAGCTTCTCACATACGATTGTTCGGCGTCTTTTTTCTTCTTCCATGCATCATATCTTTCAGCCATTTTATATACTTCCTCAGGTACCTCCTGAGGAAATAAAGAGCACGAGTTGGTTAAATCAATATAGCAAATTCGAGGGAATATTAAAGTGTTCCTCGTGTGCATGTACCAACCTGACTAGCCTCTTCGAGGATGTCAATGAGCGCCTTAGCGTGATGCCAGTCCTGCCTCGTCATAAAAGTGATACTTTCGCCCGTTCGACCCGCGCGTCCAGTACGGCCGACTCGATGAACGTACTCCTCTATGTCCCGTGGGAAATCGTAGTTCAGTACGTGCCTAAGGTGAGAGTAAAAATATGTCGATGCCGTACATCTCGAATAATGTAATATATACTTGATACGCGAAACTTACGTGACATCCTCAATGTCGATTCCCCGACTAGCCACGTCGGTCGCGAGAAGGATCTGTACGGCTCCGGTCTTCAGGTCTTCTAACGCTTGTTCCCTGTCCGCTTGTTCTCGATCGCCGTGAATGCTCTGACACTCGACGTTCGACAGAGCCAGTTCGCTAGACATATCGTCCACCTTTGACTTCTTACCGAAGAATACCATCACCTTGTCGTCCGGGCCCATTGTCCGGAAGAACTCGTGCATCTGCAATACAGTAATGATGATAATGCAATTAATATGACGTTCCCAATATAATTGGTAGTCAATTTTGTTTATTAACATGTGCGACACTACTGACTATGTCCATTTTCTCGTCTTCAGAAACCATGTAAATCTTCTGTGTCACAGAGTGGACGGCTGCCAAGTCAAGCGATCCGACGAATACTTGAATCGGATTTTTCATATATGATTGGGCTAGGCGTCTTACACCCGGGGGCCAAGTAGCGCTGGAAAAATATAAGTGTTGTATTAATAAATTACTATCTATTGCATTAAATTATATGATTTTAAATTAAATATAATATTGATATTATACATGAATTTTTAGATATTCGAGAAAGGCGATATAAATTATTTATTTGAAGTAACATTACTTTGAAAAATTTAAGTTATAATAAAAATATTAATGCTATGTTCTTGTCGATCTCGAAATGAACAAATTTTAGTGATTCCGTCTTTAGTTAATTAAATATACTCGTATATTCCTGCCACTCGCTTTCAAATTTCTTATGTGACATATGAATAATATATTTAACAGCGAATTATAAAATGAAAAATGCGTGTTATATGTAAAAAAAATGTTAAGTCATAATAAATAATAAGTCTATAATAAATATTTTATAATAAATATATTTACAGGCAATACAATTATTGCCTGTAAATAAATTTTACAAATAGAAATTAAGAAAATACAAATTCTAAAGAAATAAAAAAATTATGACACTAACTTTTTCTCCCTCCCTTAAAAGAATTTAATTTTAATAAAAATAAAAAAATGTGGCTTATACCTCGTCATAACAGTTTGTCTGTCTGGTCGCACACCCAGGAGAGTCTTACGGATTTGCGGTTCGAAACCCATAGACGGCATACGATCTGCTTCGTCAAGTATAAGATACGTTACAGCCGACACGTCCAATTTTCCTGCTTGAACCAAGTCATTTAATCTTCCGGGAGTGGCAATTACTATCTGCACACCTTTCGACACAGAGATTATTTGTTCTTTGCGATTTCCGCCACCGTATACGCATACCCTTAAATAATTCCAAATCGAGATGTATTAAGCAAGAGATAATATTTCACAATATGAAAACAAGTACATACATGTTATTCGAGATAAACTTACGCTTTAATGCCGTGGTAAGAGTACTTTCCTACTTCCTTCTCGATCTGCAATGCCAATTCTCTCGTCGGTGCCATAACAAGAACATTTGGCCCGGGACGCTCTTCGCGCGGAGTCAATTGTCCGTCGATGTGGATCAAAGCGGGCAGTAAAAAGGCAAGAGTTTTTCCTGAAATCATAATTCCCCCTCTTCATACACAAGCGTATGTAAACAGCGCGCAGAATAAAAATAATCGAACCTGTCCCAGTTTGCGCTATCCCAATAAGATCCTGGCCGCTCAGCAGAACAGGCCACGCCTGACATTGTATGGGGCTTGGTTTTTCAAACTTTTGCTTTCGTATTTCCGTAAGAATATCCGGATAGGCCTGCAACACAATTAAAGTAATTATTATATAACGAGATATGTATTAAGAAGTAATAAATAAACTCATGAGCTTTTGATTACCTGGAAAGCTTGTTCGAAGGTTTCGACGGGATTTGGTATTTTCGTCTCCTCTTCGGAGCTTCCCTCGTTCTCGAAAACATGCTTAACTTCTATGTTATTGTTAATCTGCCTGATATGATCCACTTTCGACTTCGGCATATTAGCTATGGCCGGATCTTCCTTGTAAAAATTCTTTATAATAGGAGGCAAAGCCGACCACTTCTGCTGCTGACGCTTCTCCTGCCGAGAAAATTATTATTATTACACTTGTGTATCTTACACATTTATATATTGCAATCCCTTTTCATTGTGCAAAACATACATATTCTTCATTAGCCTTGCCCCAATCAAAATTTTCCCAATCAATTTCCGGTTTCTCCTCAGGCTCAGGTGCCGCTTTTCGCGTAGATTGTGCATTTTCCAGCGTACTACCTCTGTCAATTAATAACTCCTCTATCAAGCTCTTAGCTCGTTGTTTCGCATCATCTGTACCAATTAGTGTCACAGCGGTCTGTCCATTTCCATCATTTTGACGGTCGATCTGAACAAAAGTAAGGAAAATCAGTTATTAAATGTAGGCTTTTACGCGGATGGATTACATCCTTACAATGCATACTTCAATGCGTTGCGTAGAATATATTATTTACTTTGATTGTGGCACTGCTTTCATCTTCCAGAGCTCTAATCTTGCTGCCACCCTTGCCGATAAGTCTTCCAATGCTGTTGGTGTCAATGTACATGACAAGTCCGTTTGTACTGTCCGAACTATCATTACCTCTCCTATACGAATTATCATTGTAATTCTGTGTACTTGAATCATGGCCCCAATTATCCCCAGGTCTGTGGGAGCGTCTATAAAATTGGGTGTCCCTTTCCCTTCTGTTTTCTCTCCTGTGATCATAACCTCGATCGTACCTCCTTGACGACATTCTATTATCCTCCCAACTGTCATTCATCGTCGAAAATAATAGAGAGCCTTGTATTCAAAATTAAGTATGTTAATTTCTGAAAAATGCAAGTAATAGCATAAATATTTTTTTATGCCGCCATTCCATTAGAATATCAGATAGCCGAGGTAAAAAATTATTCAAACATATTCAATTCGATTTGCATGTATCTTATATTTACAATAATTGCTCTGGAGAGCGAGAGGTCCTTAGATATTCATTAATTTACAAATAAAAACGAGTTTGTTTATCGGATATATTTATCCATTATCAAATGCACTGAGAGACAAAAGGTTAGTTTATCTCAATGTTACCAGGAACAAGTTACTACGCTACTAGGAAGGAACAGTTTAAATAATTGATTATCGCAGCGATGAGAAATATGAGAATGCGGATGCCACGATAAGCCTCAGACGCAAGTCGCAAGGCGTCGTAAAAAATAGTCTACATCGTTCCAACGTTCCGTGAAACTTACCGATGCTTCGTTAGATTAGATTCCCGATACGTGACTATTACATTCACGTTACGCCGAGACAAGGTACGCTTGTTTATCCCTCTTATCCTGCAAAAGCGAAAAAAAAAAACGATTCATAAAGAGGATAAAGTAAACCAGGGTTGTGCCGTAGATTTCAAGGTTACGTCTACACTGATTATTTACGTGAAATCTACGTGATGTTTACATGGTCTTTTTGTTGCGTATAGACAATTTAGACTTGTAAACCAGACTATTGTATCACTAATATATAGAATATAAAAGAATTAAATTATAAGGCAGTCTCTACCCACAAAAGAAATGTTCAAAATGTATCATAGGAACAGGCTAAAGATACCACATCTTTAGAATATTCTTGATGTATTTTGAACATTAATTTAACTACGAGATTAAGATTAAAAATGCAACCAGAGAATTTTTCTTACTCAAATAGTAGTTTTTTTTACATAAATGTTTATATATATTTATTAAATAAATAAATATATAGTCTACTGACTGCAGTCTACATAAATGACACTTTTACAATAGTTTACGTTGTTTACACGTAAACGTAGAGTATTATATTTTACGCGTAGATGCACAACCCTGGGATAAACAAACAATGCCGGACGATGGGACGTGTTCTCCGTGTACGATGCCTCACTCACACGTCTTATCCGAACGGCGTGGAATGTACATACGCGAGGAGAATCGACGTCTCTACTAATCTCTAATCGCCGGTATCCCTTTTAATGCCGCACCGCGTTACGATCCCGAATGAGCTGAATAAGCACGTGGTGTCCGTTTACCCGTTAGGCCGTTACGTGCACCATCCGCTGTTGAGTTCCGCGCCGAAGTCCGAACACTCGGAAAGTCGGAACACTTCGTGGTGACAACAAGATCACGTGATCGGCGTCTGTTGCTTCTTTTACCGGCGTCCGGCAAGGGCGTCGTGATCGGGCGACGGCCAGGGATGATGATCCAAGTCGAACCTCGATAACTCGAATCCTCAAGCGACCGGAAAAACTGTTCAAGTTATGGCCATTTCTGTTAATGTAGATTAACTTTAATTTTGGTTTAACTTATTTTGTATCTTTTTCTAGTTCTAAGAATTAGGAAGAGATAAAAAATTAAGTAAAACCGAGATTAAAGTTAATTTACATTGGTAGAAATCGACATTATAGATCGAGTTTTCGATTTATCGAAATTCGAGTTAAGGAGGATTAACATACGAAAATTCGACTTACGGAGGCTTTGTACGCGAGAGTTCATAATCCGTTCATTTTCCGATTATAATGGCTTTGGAGGGAAAAAATCAATATTTAATAGTGAATTATTTATTGCATACATATGATGAAATATAACTATAAAACAAAATACCAAGCTAGTACTCACTATACATCGATCGCATATAGTTGTGAAATAAAATGGTAACATCCCAGATAACCAAATCTGTTCGGACAAATAACGACAAATACTTGCTACAAATTGTAGCCAAATCCCGAGCAAACTGTACTATTGCTGATGCCAAAACAATTGTAGCAAGTATTTGTCGTTATTTGTCTGTCCTAATTGTTTACTAGGGTTATACCAAGAACTTTAACACGCTTAGTTTATAATTTTATTTTTATAATTTTTATTAGTATATATTATATTTGAATTCTTAGTTTTTGCCATCAAGCGTTATTATATTTCTACACTTACACGATCTATAAATTTGTATCAGATTTTAGAATAAAATTCTGCTTATAATTTTAAATATATATGCCGTATAGTTTGATTTATATATTTTGTAATTCATGTTTTCATATTCGTTTCTTGATAAGTTTCTTATTTGTACATTATAATTATATTATATAATTCTTATGTATAAGTAAGAAATTTATATTTACCGAAAAACGACGTCAAACTTTACATTTTTTTTCTAAAAAAATGCATGCTTTTCCTTTGTATATATACGGACGTTCCTTTAAATTAATTAAGAAAAAAAAGATAGATGTGTTGCAGTTACATACAGTTATTAGTTAGTATGTCTATCCGTCTTTGCGTACAAAAAACATTACACCGTGCAGCCCGTTTGAAATTGCCTCTATCCGCAATTACGGGTAAAGAAACGCACTGTCGAGCAGTCAGAAACCGATAGCGTGTGACTTCTATCGGTTTCTGTGGGAATTTTTACCAGGGTACTTGTATCTTTCTTGATTATAATACCGCAGCACACAACTCCTTTGTAAAGTCTATTTTATTTGATTTGTATACTTCATTCGAGAATCCATTAATTTAACTTCTGAGAGACTCGATGTACACGCCGCATAGCACTTTTGAGAGAAAGGTGAAGAATCTCTTCCCGATTCAAGGATCATTTATTCCATTCGGATTCTGTATCGTTCATTTCTGCGGGACGGTAAGACGTCGTAGCGTTGTGCGGTGTGTGGAACGTATGCAGAGCACACGAGGGAGGCGATATACCTGCATGACGTATGCTGCGCAGAATCGTATCGGCTATGGTGTAACATAGAGTTAGACGAGCCGTATTTAATTGTGCACCAGTGTGAAAAGGGACCTTGGGAAAGAATGCCGTCGATACCACGGACGGTCTCGCCCTCGATAATCGTTCTCCTAATATTCGAATGTTATTCGGGTGAGTGACGGATTCTGCGACGATCCGCGGGATTCACCGCTCCCCCCCCCCCGTTTGAACACCGTCGGTGTGCTGTGTGTAAAATTCACCTGTGGATTCGCAAGCGCTCGACCGGGATGATCGCGACACGGGAATGGATACACGGCGGAGCAATATATTCTTCAGGGAGACACGACGTGAATATATATAATTACCGCGCTCTAAAATCATTTCTCATATTCGGCGCGCCTGTTAACTTCCATCCGTTTTTGCCGCGACCTTCCGGGGGGAGTCTGCTTATTATTTAATTAATTCTTTCCTGATTTTTGGCGAAAAATTTCAAGAGCGCCGTGCTTATGACAAACCATAATGCCGTAGTGCGATCTAAGAAATTGTGATTCTAAAAATAGTCCGGATGAAGAAATTGCGCGACAAGCTTAAAAAGATCTCGAAATTTTTCGGTTTTATGGTGGGACCGACGACTGAATGATCGTTAATTTTGTAATTGGTTTTTAATCCTCAACGATTATTGAATCCGTCGTCAATAATTAATCCTGACTCGAAATCGTACTGCCCGTGCAGTGTAATCGTATATATAAAAAAATGTTTCGCAGGGACCCGCGGATCCTCGATAAGATCGTTGGACGTGCCGCTGGCCGTGCGCAACGGCACCGGACCGCTGGACCTGATTTGCGCCTACGAGGTTGACGAAGACGAGAACGGACTAGTAATCAAATGGTTTCACGAAGCGTATCAGATCTATCAGTGGATCCCGCCGAGTAATTTACACCTTCGCCGCCCACGCGATCCCATTATAACTTTACACGTCGGCTGCACCGCGTATCTACCGCGCGTTATTATTAAATTTACCTATCGGCGACTGCGTTACGGCAGGAAACTGTCGCGAGATATCGCGAAAGGTATTGAGAACGACGCGCCGCACAGCGGTGCGGAGCTGGAAAAAACCTAAAATCTTTAAAATAATGTTTTCCCGTGTTAATTACTATTTTCGAATACTTAATTAATAGTAGTATCATGTTATAAAAATGAATATATTTTATTCATTTGATTTGAAGAGGAAACCTCAAATTGTAAAGAGACCATTATATTTTAACTATTATTTAATATCTGTTTCTCTGCATTATATGTTATATAATTTAAATGTGCATAATTTTACTTTATATGTAACATAATTATTCTTCTAAAAACTCTTGCCGAAAATCTTATTATAATGCTTATAACATAATACTTAAACAATTTAGAAAATATAGGCTAATGGGAATCAGCGCGGTAATTGGTGCGCAATGATAATTTAAGTGAATATCACTATTTGTTTCATGTAAATCAATTTATTGCCAAACGTTTCGGCCATACTTCTGGCCATCCTCAGTGGTGTAACAAAGTTGCAATCCCATTGTCGTTCAAATAATAACGCACAACTGTTAATTTTTAAACTTTAAACAATCTCATCAGTTGTCACATATTTAAAACTGAACTAAACAATTAACTGAGAAATTTCAAAAAATCGACTGTGCTTCCAAGCGACACATGTGCGACTGTGCGTTCAGTCAGCAATAAATTGATTTACATGAAATAAATAGTGATATTCACTTGAATTATCATTGCGCACCAATTACCGCGCTGATTCCCATTAGCCTATATTTTCTAAATTGTTTGAATTTTTGGGAATCCTTTGTCTTATTAATATAATACTTAAAATTTTAATTTTTCTTTCTTTTATTATGTCTACAAAAAATTCTCCACTTTCCTCCAAGATCTACCTAGTATCTTTTTACAGCAGATACTATGACTAAACTGCCCTATAAAATTTACGTGTTACTTCTTGCAACTTTAGCTATAACTATTATTTAATTGTAATTATGCCTGAAAATATCAGTCGTATGTCAATGATGTACTGTACATGAAAGTGTAGACATTTTATAAACATAATCAAAGAATTTTATCTTGAAAATTTCTCAATGTACTCACTTTTTAATGTTTTTTCTTGAAACTTTAGATCAAAAGTAATGTATTGAGACATCTAAAAATAAAATAAAAATAATCACATTAATTTATATGTAGCGTCACAATCGCGCGTACGCGTTGCAAAAATTGAGAATATACATATTATATACATATATAAAACACTATAGTAAAATATAAATATATGTATATTCTCAATTTTTGCAATGCGCACGCGCGATTGTGACGCTAACATATAGATTAATGTGATTATTTTTTTTTCAGATGTCTCAATACATTACTTTCCATCTAAAGTTTCAAGAAAAAACATTTAAAAGTGAGTACATTGAGAAATTTCCATGATATGAAGTTTTTTCCGCATTTACATGTATAAAGCGCACCACTGTGCGCCGCGTGGACAATCGTGGGAAGGAAATGTCGCAGCTCGAAGTTATATACACTATATCCAACCGTAATAAGCAGGGAAATAAAAATGCAAGTCGCGAAATACCGCGCTTGCACTCGCTTGCGTCAGAAGGCGCGTAAAAAGACTTATTCTGATTTCTAACTATACAGCAGTTTTATACATCAGTTTATAACTTTTCGCGATTATGCCTGTTTTTTGAGAGACGACTTCTTTTCGAGTTGCGCTGAACGGTGACACGAGGCCGAATTTAGCTATTAAAATGTGTCTATAATATTTAATGATACTATAAGGATTTTATCGATAAGACTTTACTGATAAATTTTTACAAGGAAACTTAATGATGTTACATGTTAATTGAGGGAAGTAAAAGTGGTGAAATAATTAAATAACTTTTAAAATTTTCTTACAGATCGTGATACCAATATATATATATTCTGCTAGTAGTGAAAATCTATATTGTGTAACGTAAACTTTACAATTCAATGTTCAGCATTCAATTGCGGCAGTGTATCGGAACACTGCCGCAGAGTATAAAAAACGCGGAGATTTGTTATTTTTATTAATCTTCTACTGAAAACAAGTTTGTGAATTTTCTATTTCTAAAATTTCACCGTTGCAGCGATTATAGATAAATCGAGCTTAGTGCGTGAAGCTTTCTTTGCCAAAAGTATTATTCCACATCTGCTCGCAATCTATAAATTTTCGACGTATCGTAACAAGTGTATTTGTGTCTACAGTACCGCCACAAGATATCGGAATCATCAAAGGAGTCGCGGAATATCCAGATGAAAACCTGAAGGACCCGTATTCGCGTTCGGTGATACGATTGAAGACCGTTACGATAGACATGACAGGGGAGTACACGTGCGCGATCAGCACATTCCAGGACGAGGCGAGCAGCTCGACGAGGATGATTGTCTATGGCAAGTTTGCGAGGGGATCTAATCTAAAAATATTTGAATCGTTCGCACCGTTTAACTGACGATTGCTTTCTGTCTTCAAGTGCCGGAAAGCGACATGACGGTGCGCACTTACCCCTTCAACAAGACCCACGTGAATTTAACGTGCGTGGTCACGGGCGCGCGTCCACGGCCGTACCTGAAGCTCTACGTCGAGGGGATCGAGAGCAACGATCGCGGGAACGATCGAGGATCCTTGACGGACTGGTACAAGGACAACCCTCGCACGTCGCTGGACGTCGTCGTCGAGGACACGCTGGATCCCGCCGTCGTCGAGTGCGAGATGTCGATCCCCGAAACGGAGTACAAGCGCCGAGAGCGGATCGTCTACTACCCCAGTTCGAATCGTTTCAATTATCCGACAGACATTGCACTTTGACACGCGAGCGTCCTCGTTATTTAATTCCCCGTCGTGTCGGATTATCTAAACAACGGAGGAGAAATGATATATAGAAACCTGCTTTTTTTAGATCCATAAATTATATTAAGACTTAACAAAATTTACAGTCTTGTTTGAGAATCGAGATATTTCAAACACGTCTAAAAAGTCTCTTGCAAACCAATATATGTATTTTTAATTAATCGAGTAGATGAGATGTTTATTAAATGCATATTTTCCTTCCGTATGTTTCAGCGCAATTACTACCCTATCGCACAAATGTTTCACAAGGGAGGCGCCACGCGATGTTGCTTGTCGATTATATCATTTATATCGCCATTCTTAGATTAATATTTACGTAGGATTAAAGACTTTAATAGACTTTAATCGCAAATTGTACTCCGGGGAAATAAACAGGTATTTAATGTACTTAATTTCGGAGTCAACAAACTCTTCTAGTTCTGAAGAAAAAAAAAGAAATAAAAGCACTTTATCTTAAATTCGTCATCTATTTAATTCTGATTTTTTTATTTTCCCAAAAATATACGTATATATGATACGTATCGTTCGAATTCGAATTCGATTGTCCGTGACATACGTTATATTAATTCAAAATTGTCTGCCAGTGTTTGAGAGGTAAAGAAATGAATTGTTCAGCTTATTAGTGGCAGTTTTATTTGAACAACACGTTGGTAGCTATAATTAATATATGTATGTGTCATTCAGATTGTTTATGACATACGTAGTGTCATGTTCCAAAATGGTTTGTCAGTGTTTGAAACGCAACTGTGAATTATTTATCAGATTAGTGGCGATTGGGTACTTTTCTGTTATGCAAATTGCTATCTGCCGCGGATAGGCCTAACGCAACTTTTAACTGCAAAGTTAGTTTGTTGTTTATGCAATTTATAACTTAACTAAATTAATTTGAAGTCAGCTTAGCTTTAACTTAATTTAGTTTAAAAAGAATGTTAACTAAATATTAACCTATCCTGCGTATTTTTATTGTCTTGAACACAGTGTTCGCGTCCGTAACTGGTTCGATAAACGTATCATCGATTAGGGTTACCCATTGTTGTGCTAAGAATTTACCGAAGCCCTTATTAATCGCGAATATTTCATAAAAATGAATCACCCTTGGTTGCTAATGTTTCTTGCAGGTAATAGAATTTTTTTTTAATTACATGTATATGTATTATAAGTATACTCTTAAGTTATGTACTATTTTATATGTCTTTTTCATTTCATCTTTCCATTATTATCTATTGTTATGTAATTAATATTTTTGTCCGTTTTAGTCGAATAGTACGAGAAAGTCTTGAAACAACTTGTTACCGAAAATTTTTATATTTGCTTTTTAGGAAGTGACATTTTCATTAATTGAACAACACATTGGTATCTATAATGTAGCTGTATAATATATCAATATTATACGAAACGACAAGGTGCAGGGTGCGTGCGTTGAGGGTGGGAGAGATAATCTTGGATAGTGGGGATGGTACCTACAAGTAGCGGTACCTCTCAAGATTATCATTCGCTTCCCGGCAGTCATCTGTAAAGGGTAAGTAATCACCCGCAGCAAATCTCGCCTTCAATAATTTTTACTTGTTCGTTATAATATCTTAAATTGTCGCGAGACAAAATTGTCATCAGAAATTCGATTATAATTTCATAATTATCAAAATTATTTTTTATTTTTTCATTTCTAACGCTATTTTTAATTTGATAATGTGTCATGCACTCATATAGATCGAAGATTCGTTAACAATTTTTATAATTCTTAAGATCATATATTATAAATCTCGCGCGTACATATATACAACTCGCTACGCCGGCTCGCGTAAAAAGACACGATTCCAGCGCATTCTCTTCAGCACTAATTGTAAGATCGACCGTGGCTCCTGATATTCTTTATTTTTATACAATATTATAAATTTTTTCTTGTTATACGGAGATGAAATAATCGTTCGAAACTGTTTTGATAAGATTGAAGGTATATTTATTAAAAATGATTATGTTAGAAATGTTGCGCAATTAAAATGAAATATATATTATCCTGAAATCGCGAAACGTGCCTGTTCGTATATCAGAAGTCGACATTATTCACGATGCATGCTATATTTCACTGAGATTTTATTAACAATTATAGTAATGTATAATTAGCATTATTTTTGAAATTCTTTGCATTTGTTATCTAACATATTTTTATTGTTCCGAACACAGCGTTTGCGTCCGCAACTGAAGACATCAGGCTTATCGTCGTGCCGAACTTATCGAAGCCCTTAATTGCGAATACGTCATAAAAATGAATCACTGGTTGCTACTGTTTCTTGCAGGTAATAGAATCTTTTAAATTATACATATATGTATTATGACTTTCAAGTTATGTTATCTTATATGTCTTTTCATTTCATCTTTCCAATATTATCTATTGTTATGTAATTTTTATTCGTTTTATTCGAATAGTACGAGAAAGTTTTGGAACAACTCATTATCGAAAATTTTTATATTTGCTTTTTAGAAAGTTTTGATTTTGTTAACAGCAGTGTATTTATATTCCTTATGTATGCTTATTTTCGATACTAAACATGCTAAACAGAATTAATATCATTAATATCAATGCTTGGATAAATATATTTTATTTATTTATTATTATAAATATATTTAAATATTATTTAAAATTTTTAAAAATTGTAAATTAGGTAATTCTATTTTCTATATATTGTATTTGATTTCTTATTTTATAAAATATTTTGAGATAGAGAGAATAGGTATATGTTTCTCAGAAATTCTACTTATATTACTGCTTCCGTTTTTAATATCACATAACATGTAATATATATATACGATATCACATACAATGCATAATACTTGTAGCAATAAAGTACGCTAATTACAAACAACTGATGCTGACACTTCAAAGGGAAGCTAAGTGAAATTAATAATTACGGTGTCTACAGTAGTCTCTTTTGTGTTTACGAGATAATCGGATTGACTATGTTAGCAGTGAGATGAAGTACGTGGTATTACAGAATTTCACATTGATTTCTCGGAAACAGTAGGCAGTTCATGTTAAAAGTAATTTTCTAATAGTTCTATATGCTTTCGTAATTTACGATATTTCGGACATAATTCTGAGTTAATTTTGTAAAAATTTATTTGTTTAACGGCGAACAAATGTAACGATTGTCTCATTAATTATTTTCTTTATTTCGCTTTAGTGACTTGTAGTTAAATGTTTTACTTAGTTATTTGAGCTTTAATTTGTCCTAAAGTGTAAATTATATATGACACGATCATGTACACTTTCTAAACTAAATATTCAGAATCTATTTTAAATAATAATAAATAATAATAAGAATTTTTCTATGTTATATATATATATAATCTTTAACGCACCAATATCGCAATGTTTTTTCTCGTTTTTAACACGCATTTATTAAATTAAAAAATTGTCCATTAAAATTATCAGCTGGTAATAACTGTTTAAAATAAAAATTCCGAAAGTTAAAGAAAGTTCCGTAAAGATATGCATTGGCTTGCATAATGCGATCGTAAGTTGTAATTACTTGATCGACATTCATTACCAGACATCGACGGCTTCGCCGTCACATCCATAAATGCATCGCGTCGCTGCATACTTATATTAAACTTCTTGCGCTTTAAAACTTTTTCTCATTCATCCGACGTGCTAAAATTGTATTCTTAAATTATCGATATACATCTTATCTTTATACAGTTTCGATTTATAATCATTATACATTATATGTAGTTTTGATCGGTTCTTTATTAAAAAAGTTGAGAAGTGTCTGCAATTTTTTATTACTTTTAGAAACATACCATTTTGAATTTATATAAATATTAAGTTAATTATTTTGAAAAAAATAATATGTAAAAAACTATTCTAATGTGTCTATCTTATTTTTACTGCATTTAATTGTATAATATATAATAGCACGCATAATATGATATGACAACATGAAATGTGTTCTGAATTTTATATATTATTTCTTATCGATCGAACATACCTGCTGTCAGACGAATGCCCCTCGCCCCGAATATCAGATCTCCCTTGCTCTTGCCCAGAGTAGGAATGGTGCGATGTTGGTTGCCCAATAATATTCTTAATTTTTTAATCTTTAAATTTCATTAAGTTTCATTATGTTCATAAGTTTTATTTAAGTTTCTTTACAGTGTTTAAAATACACTTGTAGCATCATCATCGAATTGATGGTCAATTTAATTTGTAATAATATTTCAGCTTTATGATTGCGTTCTTATAAAGACCGACAATAATCGGCGCGCAGTTTTTTACAGCAGCTAAAATTAAAAAATTAAAAAATTAAGAATATTATTGGACAATCAATATCTAGTCTACTTCAGTCGAATTTAATTCTTTCCACCTTATTATTTGTTGTGTGTGTTACATTACATCTCTAACATTATATTTATAATATAATATTATTGAATATATTAAACAAATTATGTTTTATATATACATTCAATGTTTAAACAATATTCAAATAGAAATTAAGCTGAAATAAATGTTCAATGTTTAGTATACGATTAATGGTTTTTACTAATTCTTTTTTCATTATAGTAATATAGAGAAAGCAATGTAGCGCTCGATTGTTAAATTAATTTATCGCTAGTACGACTTTCATCCATTAATAATTTCATGCGTTTTTGCAGTGTGCGCGCTCTGGAGCTTCGGCGAGACCGTTCCCTGCGATCAGTGCGGACGTGAGTGCGCCGACATATGCGGCACCCGGCAGTTTCGCGCCTGCTGCTTCAACAACATGCGGAAGAGACATTCCGACTTGCTCGGCCTGAAATTCTGGATGAGACCGCGGAGATACGCGCTCCACCTTTACCCGGCTTACGACGCTTAATCACCGCGCGCCGTATATAATACATCCCATGCACAATTATGGAAAATCTTCACGATATAAGCTAATTACTGCTCAATGTTATCCCAGTATCCATGCACACTGTTCAACTTTAAAAAATCGCATAATGTCGCCTTTAATTTTTTCCCGCACTTCTTCTCGACCCTTCTCACCCCTTCGATAACCCGCTTGTCGATAACACGCCCGTTTAACTCAAATTAAAAAGGTATTATCCCAGCAGCAAGATACTCGGATATGATTTTTTTTTGTATGTAATACAAAAATCTCTTCTTCACCCGATTTTATATGTATGTTATTAAGAGCACATCGATCCTCGATTAGTTAACTTTAGTGAGAGAATCGAGTGAGATTATATATGCACATATAAACGCACGTATGAAATAAAAAATTATCTTTACTGGAAAAATATAAAATTATGTTTCATTCAATTTTTATAATTTTGTTAACAAGCTGCACCTCACAGTACATTATTGTACAGCAGCTTATGAATATACATTACAGTTTAATATATATTATGCGCAATACTCAATGGCTTCATATTATGCACACGATATATTAAAATATTGCTACAATTTGTGTGAAATTGTAAGTAATTAAATTGCTCTGTTACAATAACTTGACAGAACGATTTTATGCTAAAAATATGTTAAAATCAGGGGTTGGTAAAATAACTGATACTGCAACTTATTTAAAATAACAAATAAAATAGATTAAGAAACTTATTTAAAATAAAATATCGCAGGGGTCAATAAAAAACTGGTATGACTTATTTAAAATGAAAAATATAAAATAGATTTCAAAAATATATTTAAAATACAAAATATAAAATAGATCAGAAGAACCTATTTAAAATAATAAATACTAAATAACTCTTTTACTTTTTATTATTTAAAATATATATTTTAAATAATGTTATTTTAAATACGACCAACCCCTGGTTAAAAAGCACTACTGCTCTAATTTGAGCAATAATTTGATCTACACATAATTAAATTGTTCTATTATAATTACAATTATGTTCACCCTAATGATTTTATATTAACAAATATGTTGGTATTTATAATTCGATCTATTATTTTGACTTCTTTAAAAATTTCTTTTGGTTAAATTAATACTGTCTTGTAATATTTTCTTACTATTTTTTTAAAATTTATTTTTTCTTTTTTTAGATTGCCCTTTTCGTCAGTGTCCATGTTTTTAACAAATCTGCTAATTAGATCAATAATAGAGCTGAGGCAAGCTGGGTGTATGTACATGCTAATATGTGTTAACTGCGGTAGTAAACAATCTTTAATATATCATATAAATAATATACAAATTACACAAATATGCTAACATTTATAATTCCCATTATTTTGGTTTTTAACATGGTAAATTAATATTGCCCTGTAATATTTTTCTCCCTATTTATTTTTTCTTCTTTTTCTTTGATTTCTTTTTAAGTTTCCTCTTTCGTCAGTGTAAACATGTTTTCGTTTTGCTGTTATGGACTTACCTTTTGTCGGGTGGCTCCTCTGAAACTCTTCTCGGTCTACTATTTCTGCAAAATAAAAAACAAATCATATGTATTAAAACGCATAAAAGAAAATTCCTATCTATTTATCTGCATGTTAGTTATAATATACTACTTTTAATTTTTATCAAGTTTAAACCTAAGTATTTAATTATTTCTAATTATCTATGTAATGACGGAAAAAATAAAGACTTGAAATATCAAATTTGGTTGGTTAAGCCATGTTTTAGTACAATTCAACAATATTATGGAAAATTTATTTAAAAAATTACAAAAAGAATTACAGATTACAATTCTCCACAAGATATATTCTCATTACGTTATACAGAAAAAAATCAATCTTTATACAAATCTTTATATAAATTTGATTAATTAATTTCTCAATCTTGTTTAGTGTATTATGTTATATAGATAAAATAGAGAAAGATATCTTATAATATCATATAATTGATACACACCTCCAATATCTATATCTATACTTGATACAGATTGATCTTTTGATACATTATTATTTGAGGCAATCTCATCTTCTGTCAGATTTAAATCAATGATCTCTTCGTTCAGCATTAAGCTATCAATCTCTGCGTCAGGTATGACAAAAGTTACTTTAGTGTCATCATACACTTCGGTCTGGCATTCTACAAATAGCCTCTGCCAGGTTTGTGAATTGTGATCGCTAAAATATAATTGTAACATCTTAGGGAGGATTCACATTAGAGCGGAAAAGTAGAAATCAATCAGGAAGTTGCACTCAGCTACACTGGTAAGTGTGCAACTTAAAGTGCAACATTTGATATTTGATTTGTTTTTCCACTCTAATTTGATTACTCCCTTACAATTCGTTCTACAGCGCTAATTGAAACATTAAGTAATTAAAAACATACTATAGCATATCCGTATCCAGCCAGTCTAAATCGAGCCACGATTTTAAGTTGCTTGGTAAATTTTGATTACTTGGAAGCCAGGATCTTGTACCGACATATTCAAACTGTTGTGCACATTTATACAGATCGTTGTACCACGTACAACATTTCTTGATCGTATTCCTCGCGTAAAACCTGCAAAGAAATGTATTATTATCTGAGTGAGTGAATCGTGTAAATATTTTTTCTTCGACAAATCGTTTACAGGGGACCGTACCAAATTCTGCTCGTAGCGCCTAGGGCCATTATGGCGACGGTCCACAGGTGACCAATTTTTATTCTGGCTTGCAGGAAGTGCGAGGCGTACTTCGACATCTCCTCTATCCTGGTCATGAGCTTTCCGAAGCCTTGCGTTCTCGCGAGCACGTACTCCAGACTCTGCCTGCTCGGCAAAACGTACCTCCCATCCTCCATTCGCAGGTGAGACCGCAAAATCGAGAATTCCTTCTTCAGGTCCATGTTCAAGTAGTTGAGCAACGCCCTGTTCAACTTCATCATGTACCATAAGCCCTTGTCACCTCGAAATTTGCACTTCATCCGATAGATCATGCGGCTTAGGACCGCAGCGTTCAAGTGCAAGTCGTTCATCGATCCCAGATCTTGGAGCGCCGTGCCCAGCACTTTCTTAAACTGACTTACGTCCACGCCTAAAAGCGAAGACAAATGCATTACCTAATACCTATGTAAACGTTCAGATGCGCAGATTTTCATAATAACTATTGCTATTCTTGTAAACTGCATTAAGGGAGCGTGCTGAATTTATGACTGTCGCATAAATAAAAAGGCATAAAGAAGGCGGTAGCAAAATGGGTGTAAAATGGGGGTTTTTGTTTATCGAATCATAATTAAACAACGAAAACTTCCACGCGTTTCGTTGTCGTTATTGCAAAATAATAACTCCTAGCACGAGCGCGGAAATATATAGTGCCGAGACCCGCTTGGCGCGGGCGACCCACGTGCGGCACGCGTGCATGCAAAAACAACCTCTAACCTCTGACCGTACCCTTCGCCCTCGCGTCCAGCGGCCTGATCTGCCACGTTAGGTGCGGCGGCCGCTCCAAAATGGACAGATTCCAAATCGCGTTCATTTTCGCAATATTCTGTGTTATAAATTATGTAATATATATCTGTAAATAATATACATATACACGCGCGATACACGGATCTAATGAATCCTAACCACGTGGCGTCGCGAAACGACGCTTGACGACGCTTCACTCTTCAGCAACGACAGCAACGCCTTTGCCACTTCAGTGTCGAAAGAGAGAACTAGAACGGACCGCGAGATAACAACGGTCGGTAACAACACTTTCTAGTTCCTTTCTTCGCGCATGAATATACCGACCAATACCGGCGACGCTCTCGAATGGGAATAATTAGAAGATAATTCTCGAAGAAATGGGAATGGGGGATAAAGATGGCGAGAAAGAAAGAGAGAGACGAAGAAAGGGAAGGAGCATAATACAGGAGAATAAAAAATGATTACAGCGTAGGGCAGGAGGAGGAGGAGGGAGGGGGGGGGAAAGGGAGGAAGAGAAAAATGAAAAAACAGAAGAATGAGAATGCAAGGGGTGGAAGAGACAAAATATACAATTGCAAGATCGATAATATTTTCGCGTGTTTGCAGGCGGTTAGCAAGAAGAAAAGTCAATATAATGAGCAGTAATAAAAAAAAGCAGTTTATCTCAGAAATTGATAAGGCGAGACATTTGGGTTTTAATTACACGGTGCAATCGAGAGCCTATATATATATATGTGTAAAAAAATGGGACAAATATAAATATATATTTAACGTATATATATATATTATATATTTAGAAAAGGTGTTTTGTTCTACATATAGATTCTTCATATATTGATGCGCCTCGCCGGCGATTTTACTACAAATGTAACAACGTATATTATGTGCGCCAGCTGTCCTGCTCCCCTCTTAATCTCGCTATATAAGAACGCGTGAATGTCGTGCACCCTCGCCGCCGCATCAACCGTATATATAATCCGTCTTACGTTTTATTGTATTTATCGATAAATGGGAGATCCAATAATTCGAAACTGCGGATATAAGATACAGTTATAATTTATAAATTTACATTTACAAGGCTTATGTCGTAATATAATTTTAATATTAAAATAATCTTAATCGCATGTTAGAAAGAAGAAGAATGAAAAGGAAAAGAAAATGTTTTTGAAATTTCAAGCCCGGTTTCACAATGTACAATGTGATGCGTCGGTCACTTAACGGGTTTTAAAACGCATTAGATATTTTTTTATTTTAAAAATCGATTGTACAATGTTAAGATCTCATATACAGAAGGTAAATCAGGTAGGCTGGCAAGAAGCTTATCGCGTCAATTTTTCTCTTCTTGGCAGTCTCTCTCAACTTTTAATAGAAGGTGGCTGCGCTCGAGTTAATTCGAATTCATTATCGTGATATCGTGTAGACAATGACGATATTAATTGCGATAAGTGCCCTGTAATAATAATTACAAGTTGTGTTTTCCTATATACGTAAATTCAAAGCTATCCTATTTTTATTTTACTTAAAAACTATAGAATACAAGCTAGCTTTCACATTGTAAATAAGGAAATAGTCGGATCGGTAATAATAATAATAATAGCAATAATGAGACCTACAACAATAAATTACGTAAGTGAATAAATATATATCAAAATATACGAATATGAAACAAGTCCATCCATATTGTAATAAAAAAAATTTCCTTTCTGTTGAACAAACAAAAAAAATACAACTTTGGCTCTTCGTGTACGCCAGATGAAAGAAATGCTGTCAGGTGTGTGCATAACATGTCGATCAAGATGAAGTTAAGTCAAGCATCGTGTTGTTGTCCTCCAACGCTGGCAATGGTAACTCATTCTTCTCCTCCTCGATTCTGGCATCCGACATCTTTAGGAACTTGATTACCTTCTCGGTAGCGGCGTTTCCGCAACTACTCACTTCGTTCTGAAACGAAAACACGCGCGACAGAGGTTACAACGTTACTCTCTCAGAGACGAGACGAGAGATGGGACGCGTTCACCAAACAAGATAATTTACCGATGCCGTCAGATTCATGAAGTTGAAGAACTTTTGAAGTACAGATACCATAGTGGCGAAGTTCTTGTCCGGTAGTCTACTTCGTACTAGCGACTCGTACTCCTGGACAACAGAAAGAAGATTTACTAAGAAAAAAAAAAGAACTGTACTAAAACGCAAATGTCTCACTAGACAGATGTGCATATAACAAGTGAATTAATCGTATTTTTCACTTGAAATTTAATTTTTTACGTTTAATTTTTACCTTGTTATCCATTATTAAGTATCCAAGTAACAGTACTACGTATGCTCCGATGAACGTATGCTCCATATGTCGTCCAGCTTTCTGTAACACTGTGAAATAATTTTGACGTTATTATAATCATAAATCACAAAATCTGCATATAGGCATTTTTCTAAAATATGCATACAAAAAATCATAAGCGTGTTAGATTCTTTTTCTTCAGAAAGAATTTTAAAGGCCTTTGTGGATTGTTTTTGAATGTTAGATATCTCGATGTAAATAACAATTTAATTTTTTTTTAGGCAGAAATTAGGCAGTAAATGATACAAAAGGATAAATAACTTTTTTTTTCAAAGGATTGAAAAACAGATAATTTCTTCCAAGAATATATATCGTTAAAAGTTGACTGTTTGAGACGCGCGACATTCTATGCATTATTATTAATAAACTTCGAGCAATTAGATATAAAGATAGATATAAAGTAAAATAGACAGTTAGGTATAAAGATATGCATGCGCAGAAATACATGTAATACGAACATTTTGCGACGGTCTCTTCGATAAATTCTTCCTGAGATTTAGTTGTGGTCCGCACCGTCTCTCTTTGCTCAGAATCTTTCTTTCCGTCTAGGATCGCGTCCGTTTTCTGTTCCTCGGCGCGCGCAAGTTCCTCTTGCTTGTAAAACAAATCGATCAGAGACTCCACGCCGCTTTTCTCCGCTGAAATTACGCAGAGAGAAAATAAAGGTCTCGCGTTCCCACAGTTCGATTACGTCGAAGGAGGCGTAAATACAAGGCGTATACCTACCATCGAAAATACTTTCCGTCAACGGAGGTGCCTTCGAGTCGATAAGAAGTTGCTTGTTGTCGTCGCACTGCTCTACCAAATTTATCAACAGACTTAACGCCAACATCATCATGTCAAATCGCTTTTCTTCTGGGAGCAATTCAGGCACGCGTAACAAGAGAAACAGACTGCGATCCAAAACGCCAACTTGTGCGCCGACTGACTTGCTACCGAAGGCTGTATAAGAGATATGCATATACTTATAAAAAATAACTATATTATAAGAGATTACATAGATTAATAGTGAAAATGTAATATAATGAATGCGAGAGTAGATAAGCTGTAGATGACTATTTAATTTCATGCATATATTAATGATAATATCGAAGATAAAATCTTACATTGTCCGTTAAACCGATGGGTAAGATTGATGAGAACTTTAAGAATTGCAAAAAGACATTCTCTAACAACAGCACCAGTGGAACTCTTATCGCTTGGATCTGTTGTTGGATAAATGGGTATCTCTTGTCCGCATAAGTGATACAAACTAGCTAACGTGCTTACTAATACTCCATCCTCGTACTTTAATAAATACACCTGATTCTCTTCGTTCATATGAGTTACCTAAAAAATAAAAAGAACAAAGCGTCGCGATATTTAGCGAATCTCCATTAGCCATTCTTCTTCATGACACGGCGCGGACAACACGCGCCGGAAAGGAACAAAAAGAAATAAGAGGAAAAAAAAAGAAGAAGCGGACTTACATTTTCTAAGACGCGCAAACATCTGTCAACTTTACGTAATTTGTCTAATAAAGGATCTGTCCAGCCAGATCTTAAAACATTCTCGCCGTTAATATGACGGTGACATTCTCGAATTGTCTTTACAATATGCTCCAGGCCGCCTAATTCCCGCAATTCTTCCTTGAACCATTCTCCAGCGCGCTTTGACGTAAGACTCAACAGCGTCTCCATAGCGAGCTGGCCAACCTGTGTAAAGGCGTATTACGAATTATTCGGCGGTAGAGGTAAAGCTATGTAAATACAAATACTGCATACATAATGTAATCGCGGGGATAAATGCGAACGCGGTTCGAAAGTGCGTATATCGGAAGAATTTGCTTACGGTGATATTATCTAGATTTAGATGCTTAGCGTGTCCTTGAGCCTGTATGTCAGCACACAACTGACGCACTTTTTCTTTGTTTTTTAGCAATTCGGCATGACTGAGGCCGCAATCGTCAAGAGCGTCCTTATGACTGGCATCGGATTCCAATAGACTTAACATTAATTCCAAACAATCGCGATCAAGATCCATAGCCAGGCGATCCTGACTTAGTACAAACATTACTGTAGCTGTGCATAGACCAAGACTCTGTAAATAATAATAATAATGATGTGACAATATATAATTATTGTACATAAAAAAAATCAAATTAATGAGGAAAACATTTAATGCGATATGTAATATGTATATATATATTTTATATAAATATATGTATAGAAATAGACAGAACATAGTCATATGTATGCGAGCGTCTATACCTGATCTTTAGTTGCATCATGAAGAGCTTTAAAAAACTTGGCAACAGTTCCATGAGCACGCACGTGCATACGAAATGCAGGAGCCATACATTTACTCGCCAATCGTATGGCTGAAAGGCAACGAGTAGCATTCGGATTATTTTCTCTCAGAGTGTCCAAGATATACTCCACATCGTCGTTAAACTCTTGGAATTCTCCGCTTTCTTGTATCTGATGAGCTTTCTTTACATTTTTCACTACAGTATAGAACTGCAAGGCAAAATGAGAAGGCCACGTAAATATACGCGTCGGATCGAAAATAAATCACACATGCAAGGTAATTACAATGCAGTTTTGCATTTATAATTTGATGTCTTATATAACCGGAATAATCCTACTTATTAATCTGCAGAGAGTTTATGAAAACAAAATCCCTGTATTACGACAGATCCTCCAAAGAAGATAACATAACGACTGTTTTGCCTATTCTCTATACTCACCCCTTTAACTTTTTTGCCGCAACGAACGCTCGTGACAGCGTCCGCTTCGTCCTCGAAATCCGCGTCGGCCGCGGGATAAGTCACGACTCGCGTCAACTGCGAAGGCTCGAATTCCTCCTCGTACGCCACCGGGCCCGCGTTGCTGGAACTCGACGCGGTGGTCGGGGTGCTGTTGCCGGTGTTCGGCGTATCCGCGGAGGTGGACTCCTTGTCGCTGTCGCACCACTTGTGCTTGTACAACGCCCGCCTCTTGTTCCCGTTGGTCGCGCCCGTCGAGCGACTCTTGAAGATGCTGCCCTTTTTAACGGCGGGCTTGATCGAGGAGACGCTCGTCGCCGGCGGGTCCGCGGTCTGCAGCAACTCCGAGGCCGTGTTCGTCGCGTGTAGCAGCGGTATCTCACCCTCGGCGTTCCCGCTGGCACCCTCGCTGTCGTCGCTGCTCGAGAACCAGTCCTGATCCACCAGAGTCTTGGCCGCGATCTCGACGGTGGCGGCGGTGTCGATCGTGCCGCGGGTCGGCAGCAGCTCCGGCTCCGATTCCGGATCGGGCTCCGCCTCCGGCTCGGGCTTGAACGGTTGCATGGCCGCGACGGGTGCCGCTTCGGCCGCGGCTTCATTATTGGTCGGGATATCTATGAAGCAGTGCTGTTCAATTTGATACGCGACGCTCTCCGGCGTTGCTGTTTCCTCCGTATTTTCCATATTGTCATTGTAATTGTCATCGATACCGGCGGCCAAATCTGCCGGTGGTGCTACCGGTGGTGACGCGGGTGGCGATGGTGGCGATGGCGACGATTGTGGCGATGGCAATGACGCTGCTGCTGCTGCTGCTGCTACTGGTGGTGGTGTTGGTGGCGGCGGCGGCGGCGGCGGTGGTCTCGCGTCGGAGTCGCTCGACAGTATATCGATCAGCTCTTGAGTTGTAGTTGGCAGTGGCTGATCACGCCCGATCAACGGTTCGATCGTCGGTTTGGAGGAATACGTTGAGCTATAGTCAGTCTTAACGATGTCGTAATGAGAGATAAGTGTGTTGTTGGAGTCCGTCACCGATTTCCTCAGCGTCAGGGAGAGGCCGGAGCCGTGCGAGTTGGTGGGTGTGACCGGTGCCGTCGACGGCGCGACGACGGAGGTCGTCGCCGTCGGGTCCAGGTGCAGATTCTTGGCGCGGCTACGCGTGGTCCTGCGCATATCCGAGTTCTCCAGCGGGATCGACACCGCGGAGATGACAGACTTTCGATCGGGATTGGAGATGACGGACTTCCGATCGGGATTGGAGATGACGGACTTTCGATCGGGATTGGAGATGACGGATTTCCGATCGGAATTCGAGATGACCGATTTCCGATCGGAATTGGACACGATGGACTGATGCGCGCGCAGGGATCTATGATCGGACTTGAGCGACGCTTCCGTGTTGGTGGTCTTGCGCTCGATGTCCACCTTCGAGGGACTGGCGAGGGGCGTGGAAATCCTGTACGTGTCCGGCTCGGGCTCCTGGCTGTCCTGATGCACGTCCCCGCAAACCAGTCGCGCCGTACCCTTGCATATTCTCAGTACGATCGGCGGTTTGCTCTCCTCCCGATTGGGAGCGTCGGGCGTGCCGGTGCTATCTAAACTTTCTACTACTTTCTTAACCGAGGCATGCGACGCTTTCGTCACAGCCTGCTGCTGCTGCTGCTGCTGCTGCTGCTGCGGGGTTGCTTCGGGGCGCGGGCCCTTCCGTATTGCGAATCAGGTACTTGTCTGTAGATTGCCACATCCTGGCGAGATTCCTCCACCACGGGCGGGGCATTTCGGCTCTTGAAGAACTTCTTCGGCTTGACGACCGCCGGGGACGCGTTGTCCGACTTGTTGTCCGGATCGGTCTCGAAGGAAAAGGGATCCTTCCCGGGATTCACGCGATTCTGATTCCCATAATCGAGCTTCATTCTCTTCGCGCCGAAAGTGTTATGTATATCATCTCTCCTCCCTGAAAACGGAACAATTCTGCAACGCTGAACTTCGACGCCTTTATGCAAAAATATCACGCCACACATATTAATAGTTTGTTAGATAATTTTAACAGTATTTTAAAAATATCAATATTTCTCGAGATTGATCGTCGCTTCTGGATAAAGAAACATTAATAATAGAAAAGTGATATGGTTTCTATATAAAATCTATTCTCATTCGCATATTAATATACAACAAAATGTATGTTTGTGCATAAATGCTGCATAAAGTGCAGAATAATTTCGTACGTGATTTGCTTATGAAATCATTCCATTAAATTTTTAAATTTCCAATTCTACTGAGAATAGGATCATATGGTATCATTGGCGTTTGACGGTGAAATTATATCATTGATGTAAGAACAATTGATTGCGCCAGTTTCTAAAAATAAATCCTGTCAATTTGTATTTTTTTTTACGCTACAAAACTAGATTACGTACAGTCGTTACTCTGAAATAAAATTAATTCTTTGAAATTTGCAACTGTAGGAAAGACAAGCTCCAGTTCTGCTAAAATCCATTACGCTCATATCATCAAGATTACGTACTTAATGTCACCGCTTTCGTGATACAAAAAAACTTTACATATAGCAAGCTTATGAATTTTCAATTGTGCAAACGTGGCAGGTCCATCTCTGATGCACATTTCAATGTATAAGGAGTTTGACAGTGGCATAGCCGCCGATGTATACGGCTCGAAATCTGTTTACAAAGCTAAAGTACAACAGGTATTTCCTTTCCGCGATAACGGCCGTCGAACGCCGCCGACGCGAGAGAAGCGACTTCTCTCGAAGGCGCTGTCGCGACGACGACGACGACGACGGCCGCCGATTAACATCTAATGTAAACATAACACAGCGATAAAAAGGCAATCGTGGGCGTACCGTTGATATTCGTGCTCCTGATGGACGTGAAGGATGTTATGCCCCATTTGCCGACGGTGCCCGCGGACTTGGCGGCGGACGGCCGGTTGCTGTTCTCGCGGAAGAGCTTGTCGAACTGGATGCTGCCAGGCGTTACACTGCTGACCTTGCGGCTGTAGGACTTGGTGTAACTGCGGGACGTCATTGTGCGCGCGTCTCGTGGGTCCACTTCGGCATCGCAGGGTGATACGCGGGGCGATAATGACGCAATCTATCCTCGTGCCCGTCGGTGACGGCGGGTGGCTGCCGCGCGCCGCGCGCGCTCACGACAAGGGTGCCGCCGCGGCCCGCACCGGGGCATGCATTCGACGGAGGGAGGGGGATGCGGTGGGAGCGCGCGATCGCGGTGGTCCCCCCGTGTGGTGTCCCGCGCGGATGGATGATGCGGGTGGTACCGAGGGTACAGCGCGGCCGGGTTCCAGCGGGGCGGGATTCAGCTGCGGCGAGTGACGGCGGTGTCCCGCGGCGGTGTGGTAACGTGCACCGAAACAAACGCCATATTACAGAGCCACTTCGACGCGCACGGGACGGAGTCGGGAAGTCTCTTTCTCACTCACTCTCTCTCTCTCTCTTTCTCTCTCTCGCTCGCTCGCTCACTCCGTTTGCTCGCACTCGCCTGCTCCGTTTGCTCCCGCTCGCTCGCTCTCTCTCTCTCTCGCTCGTTCGCTCGCGCGCGACGCCGAGATGACAAATTCGATTTAGCGATCGGTGCGATCCCGGTCGAGCGCCGCCGTGCCGCACGTCGCCCGCGGTACTCCCTCGGCACTTACTGCTGATGCCTCCACCGCCTCCGTCGCCGTCGTCGTCGTTCTCGCACTCCTCGTCCTCGCTGCCGTCGCCGCTGCCGTCACTTCTCCACTCTTTGTCCACCACCGCTCCTCCGCTACCATCAATTTCTCAGACTCGTGGGGATTATTAATCATCAACATAGATCTCTCGAGCCATCTGCCGATGTTTTTCGTTTCGGGATTTTAGATACACACGTACAAGAGATGTATATAGTATGCATATATATGTGCGCGGCAGAGGAGGAGGAGGGGAAAAATGGAGTGTCACATATACAAATGTAACAGTGCGCAAAGTCACTTGCCGCCTCCGCCGCCAGATAGAGCCACGCGTGCGGCGGCTACCCGTGTAACCTAGAGTCCTAGCAGAGAGGATCCTGAGAGTGGTCATACCTGCGATTTAGCTGGGACCGGCGATGTGCTAGTTTCAGCGCCTCTGGAAAGTGGACATTGAACTACTAACTAGATAGACCAATGAGAAGCACGTTTTCCGTCCAACGCGTGCTTCTCATTGGTCTCTCTAGTTGGTAGTTCAATGTCCACTTTCCAGAGGCGCTGAAACCAGCTCATCGCCGGTCCCAGCTAAATTGCAGGCATGGCCGCTCTCAGGATCCTCTCTGGTCCTAGATTATCAGAGAAGCGCGACCGGCTTATGGCAGTATCACAAAAGTACTGAAAATNTTAAAAATGGCGTCGAATGGCCAATCATAAGTTTGATTTATTCGGCAGCCATTTATAATAGCGATAAATCAATCTTATGATTGGCCATTTGCGTGTCCAATCAGGACTCGTAACACCGGTCGCGCTTCTCTGATAATCTAGGACTCTAGTGTAACCGTGTTCTCGGCCTACCCTACCTCGTAGAGATTCTATGATGACGGGCGGGCGAATGCCTCTGGTGAACTCCTGGGGGGAATGTCGACGCGACGTCGTGACTCTCCCTCGATTCCTTGACGGCGAGCAGTGAGTAGCCGTGCGAAAACGCGTGAGGATCCTCGCGACGATTTGTCATGTCAGTCAGCCGTGAGCGCGCGATCCCGACCGACGCGGAACGGCGAGCTTCGATTGGACGAGACGCTAGGGGAATTTCGTTCGTGCGATTTTGCAAATCCATCCGCTGGACAAAATTCGAACATTGAACGAATTTTGCAAATGTGAGAACAAAAAACATTAAATAACGATATTCAAAGATTAATTCGTGTTTGTTTTAATATAATTTTAATCTCGGTTTAAATTGTTTTTTTATCCTTTTCTAACTCAATATGAATTTAAAAAAGGGATAGAGTCTAATCGGTATAAATGGACATATGTCATTTAAAACCGACTTTTTTCAGTACACGAAATTTGTTAAGAAAGGCAATCGCGACGTGCCAAATGCAACGCGTGGGCAAAAGCAACGCGTGGGCAAAAGCAACGCGTGGGCAATCGCAACGCGTGGGCGAAAGCAACGCGTGGACAATTTATATATAATTGCTTTGTTCGATTCTTATGTTTGTGTTTGTTGATAATTAACCTCTCTTGAAACATAATACGGGCTTGACAGACTCGCGTCAGGGACACGCGCAGGTACACACGTAGTTCCAAGAGAACCTTTTTCGAAGGGATATTTAGGACGCGTATAGGTGTAGTGAAGTTAAACTAAGTATCGTGAGGGGGTGAAAATCACCCACCAACTACGATTATTCATATTTGACTACCAATAATTGGTTAAATTCCCCCCTTTCGGTGGGGGGAATGTCGTATAACCTCAGAAACGCGAAGGAACAAGAGGATGGGCTAAACAAAGAGGGAGCAGAAAGTGTAGATATGGGAAAAAAGGACAGGAGACAAGGGACCCCTAGAGTCCTAGATTATCAGAGAAGCGCGACCGGTGTTACGAGTCCTGATTGGACACGCAAATGGCCAATCATAAGATTGATTTATCGCTATTATAAATGGCTGCCGAATAAATCAAACTTATGATTGGCCATTCGACGCCATTTTTAATATTTTCTAGTACTTTTGCGATACTGCCATAAGCCGA